GACAGACACCTCGTGCTGTATCTCACTAGCCAGCTTTCACAGATGGATAATCCCAAGTTTGCATGGTATGTAGCTCAGAGATCCAGTTGCTGTGGTGCTGGTGGTTGTGTCCTGTTTATTTAGAATGTCTAGTTGGCCCCACGTGTTCAATAGCTCAAGAAAAGCAAAAGCCATAGTTGGATGGTGTGCACTGCACAGCCCACTGCTTACATCAACTATCTTGAATTAATGAAAGATTCTTGCAGTGAACAGCCCAGCACATAATAAATGCTCAATATTTGCAAATACAACAACAAAAAGAACTAAGCACTATCCTCCTACTTCTTGTATCTCTTGACTAGGACTGTAGACAGTGTCCCACACATAGACAAATGACAAAGTGATGAGTCGTCCTAACTACCTACACTAATCACAATCAATGGCACAGACACTCTGGTATTCATAAAGACCAAACCCATATTCAAAGGAAAACAATCTGAAGAAATGTTGGGAAAACAGGACAGTTTTCCTCATATCACAGTGAAATTAAACTGGCATTAAAAGGGATTCATGTCCATGTTTAGGTAGAGATTTTAGAAAAAAAAAAAAACACTCTGTAGCACACCTAGGTAGTGAATCATGGTGTGGTGGGCTAAATGATGATCCCAAAAATTGTATGTTCAACTTCTAATTCCTGACACCTATGAATGTGACCTTATTTGACCTTTGCAGATATAACTGAGATCATTCTAGATAAATAGGGTAGGATCTGTTAACAATAAAAAGTATCTTTATGAAGAGAAGCAGAAATAGGGAAGGTCATGTGAAGACAAAGGAAGAGACTGGAATTTGGCTGTCAAAGGCTATGATACCAGGAGCCACCAGAAGCTGAAAAAGACACACAATTGTTCTGTAGTAGTAAGTGGAAGCATAGCCTGCCAATGCATGGATTTTAGACTTCTGATCTACAGAAAAATGCTTTGATTTTAGATTTCTGGTCTATAGGAAAATGAATTTGTTATGCTAGCAAACTATGGGAATTTGTCATGACAGCCCTACACATGCATGACCCTGCAACTACTCCCGACCTTAGGATAGCAGTGATACAAAAAATTGTTGCTATGTGCAAGCCCCCAAAGCTTTGTGAGAGCTAAATAACAAGCTATATCCTATACTCTAATGCAGGGTCACACTGTAATTCCCTTCTTGTCAGTATGTGCTACGATTTGGGTGTGATCCTTGAATTTAGGTGTTGGACATTTAATCCAAAGTCATGTTAATATCATGTTAATATTTAAAGATGGGATCTTTGGGAGGTCTTTAGGATTAGATAACATAGTAAGAGTGGGATTCCCATGATGGAATTCGTGACTTTATAACAAAGAAGCTCTATGTGGTGCCTTCTATGTAGTGATGTAGCAAGGGCCACACCAGATTATGACACCATGCTTTTGGACTTCCATCCTTTAACAACTGTGAGCTAACAAATGTTTACTAATGTCCATTTTTCATAAATTAATCATAGGTTATAAATAAGTATTCTTTGTGGTAGCAACAGCAACAAAACAATGGAATACAATCATGTCTCAAAGGACTTTGCTTTATGTGTTTTATGACTACACAAACATGATACTTTTGTCTGAGATTTTTCAAGTACTTCTGTGACTTGCCCCACACCATTACTCAGCCCTCACAATAACCTGAACACTGTGAGTCCAGAAAATGTAGAGAACATGTATGTATTAAGGGATGGTAAGAGGAGAAGGCTTATAGGAAACAATGCAGAGCTAGACAAAGGGAGTTTGAGAGACTGAAGAGACAGGAATAGACACTAAATTCCTACTTCTCTTTGCCTTTGAAAGTTGTATGTTGTTCTTGATCTCTTTTTCTCTAGGTCTTTTCCAACCCTCTCTTTACTTCCTGGGTGACATGAGATGAGCAATTTCCTCTGCTTTCATACCAGGATGTTTATGCCTTGGAGCCAGTTGCCCTGGACTGAAACCATGAGCTAACATAAACATTTTCTCCTTTAAATTGTGTATGTCAGGTATTTGGTCAACATGATGAAAAAAGATAACTCATAAAGCTTCTGATTTCCTGTAACACATTCTAACAACTTTCATACCTTTTTTGCTGTCACAAAGATGTTCACAGTCATCTTTACCATTTTTTAAAGAGTCCTGACTCTATGAGTTAAACTTCAAATGTTAATGCAAGATGATTTTCTTGTTGGTTGCTTCAAGTTGTTCCCATGGATAGACTTATCCCAAAATAGTTGTAGATAAGTCCAACTTCTCGACTTTGCAACTTGAGTTGGGCTTTAGCAGAGCATCCTAACCTGTGATGCACCAGTAAACTCTCTGCAGATCTGGGTAAGCTATGTGCCTTCTCTTCCTTAAAACTTGGCATAAAGGGGCTGGGGATTTAGCTCAGTGGCTTAAGCACCTGCCTTGCAAGCAGGCAGTCCTGAGTTCGATACCTGGTACCGATAAAAATGAAAAAGACAAGAAAAAAAAAAACTTGTCATAAAATCTTAGGCAGTTCACTGAACAACCAATTCCCAGATATGAAGCTCATATAATTTTATGTTGTTCTTCCTTTGCAGTGCTAGGGATCAAATCCAGAACTTCAAGCACACTCAGCAAGCCTCTACCAATAAGCTACATCCCCAGCCACTAATTCATACTTCAAGTTGGTATTTGTAGTTGGTTAGAAAGCACAGTTAGCACAATCCAGCCACAGAAAGAATAAACAAAAAACATGTACAGATAATACCAAGAAAAACTGCCAACATAGGTGTTTAAGGAATGTATCAGTATGTTGTTGTACTAATGTAAAAGGAATTGTCTTTTAAACGTAGGCCACAGTAGCTTAATATTTTTTCAGTGCTGGGGATGGAACCCAGAACCTTGTATATGCTAGGCAAGTACCCTACCACTAAGCTACATCTCTGGGAGCGCTCTAGCCCTTAGGCCTAGTTCTTTCTGTGTGATGTGATGCTAGGGTAAACCCATACTCTCACATGTGGTATTTTCTTGGTTTCTATTGCTCCTTATTCCTGGAAACTACCATTAACACCCAGTAGAGGTCGCTCTGCTGCCAGGTGCACTGGATGGAAGTATCAAAGATCTACTCCCTCAAGTTATTCAGCCCTTTGTGTTACTGTTCCAAGAAAATAGTTAAGTTAGAGAGATATTTACCACATCATAACACACAGATTTTCAAACATACGAGGCAAAAAATATGTATGGAACTTATAGAAAATGTAAAGAAAATCAGTTTATTGCTTCTCAAAAGCCATGTAGTTGTGGACAGGACTCCAGAAGGGAACCAGCACAGCAGCGCTCCTAGAGGTGGCAACTGTGTGCGTGCTAGGTCTACAAGCTTCTAAAAGCATGTGCATTTTTGCTGAACCTGGAAAGAACCATTACAAAAAAAGGTTAAAAAAAGGTTTAAAAGCATGGCCTGGTGACACAAGTTTGTAATTCTAGCAGTTTGGGATGCTGAGCCAGAGGGACTGGCAAACTCAAACCCAGCCTGGGCAATTTAGCAACTTAATGAGATCCTCAGAGAGGACAGAGGCATGTCTAGTTCTTGACCCATCTCCTGGTTAATTCTCTGAGTTCTTAACAATACCACTCACCAGAACCCTAGCTGTAGAGTGAAGTGGGGAGGGGCTTATGTAAGACTTTCCCCGTTAATCTAAGAGGGATGTTAGTTCACATGCTTATTCTTGGTTCAACATTAATTAAGGAATGTTATTTGCTAAATTACCTTAACTCTGGGCCTCTAACCTTGACAAAGATGATAGTATTTCATACCTTATAAACTCTTGCAACATAATAGGTGAAGATGCAATGTCTACTCTAGATTTTTCAAAATACTGCTTTAAAAAAGATTGTTTTACTCTTTAAAAGCTGTTAGGAAACTTACAGTTTAATAACTTACAGTTGTTAAGTAATGAAAAGTTATTTAAGTCTGACTAGGCCTTCAAGGCAAAAGTAACTAAATCTGTTTAAGATGGGTTGGAGAGAAAGGGAAGGAAAGTGGCATGCAGTGCTGGAGGATGCATCTTCCACTTTAGTTCACAGGTGACTCCAAGTGAGTAACAAGGCAGAGATGTGAGCAAAGCCACATTGCAGCCTGGTAAGAAAGGAACATTTACAAACGGAGGCAGTCAAAATCTTAAACTGGTAAATTCTGGAAAGGGAAAAAGTAAAAAGCTGGTATTAAGAGCAACATAATTTCTTTTTCAATAGAGAATGACAGGGTATCTATATTCATACGGGAAGACAGGAAAAAATCTCAATGAAGGAAATGAAAGACCATGAAAAGGTTCCAGAGGCTGTTAAAAACGTGGCTGAAAATGAAAGCTTTGGCATATTAAAGGAGGCAGAATATTTATCTTTAAAAAAAGACAAGATAGAGATTTATTTTTATTTACTGCAGTGCTGGGGACTGAAGCCAGGGCTTCAAAGGTGCCAGACAAGTGCTCTCCCAGGAGGATCTGACCACTTCAAAATGCAGTGGAAGATGCATTCTCCAACATAGAGTTGGGTAATGGAGCAGATGATTCAACTCGACAGGTAACTGACCACTTCAAAATGCAGTGGAAGATGCATTCTCCAACATAGAGTTTGGGTGATGGAGCAGATGATTCAACTCAACAGAAAAGAATGGAGCCAAATGTGGATTCTACTGGAAACGGCAAATTCAAAATTATTCCTTGATTTTGAGAAGTCGATTACATAAATAACAGCTACTGAATTTTAGCAGACCTCCAAATATGATCGATGCTATTAACTGTCTTTGTAACACAGTGGAGGCTCCAGAAAGATCCAACGTTGCAAGTAAAACTCAAGACAATATTCCTTCCAGATTTCTACTCTCTGCCTCAGCATCAAGAAATCCTGAAATTCTAGAGATGTTGCAATGGTTATCATCATCCTCCGGAAGTATCACTAGTATGTTTTATTCTCATGCAAACATTGAAGTGCTAATTTCTTGTAATAGAGACCAAATTGAGTTTTTCAGAGCACATGTTTATTTAAGAATTAAAAGAAAACAAAAGCATTAAAGCACAGGAATACATCGACTGAATACAATTTGTCTCATTTGGTCTGAAACCTTGAAAAAGTTAGTCTAACTACTTACCTGAGGTAGATTTAGGTTGGCACTGCTTCAAGGGAACCTCCATCCATCTTAAAAATTACCTTCTAGTTTTGATTACAGGCTCCCCAGTGGTCCTCTCCAACCTCAGGTTACACTATATGAACAGTATCAACACCTTTCCCCCCCATGGTTAAAAGCCATCAGACCTGTTTTATATCCCCAAAGTTCTCCACTTGAGGGATGGTCCATCGTTAATTTACTTAAAGACTAGAGACAATTATCAGTTAACTAGTTGAAAGAAGTCACTGTCCTGTTAGTGATATCAATTTTGTCCCCTTCTCCAAGATCTCTAATAAGTAGCCATAAGAACTAATCTTCATTGTCATGTCATACACACCCAATACTATTTTAAATGTTACAACTGTCAAAACTTATAGTAACAGGCATGATTTTCACCAGAGAGGGGAAAATATGTCATGTGTGCTTTACAAGAGCTATTTATAAAAACTAATGAAATATGTTGTATCAAATAAACTTTAAAGACCTATTTCCTAAAGAATCAGATTCTTTGTCACTGTGAGCTATAGCCATTGACTAAGATTATCATGTTCACAGACCAACCACTGGCCAACTCCATGAACCTAAATGCCAATGTACTCTGGAGTTTGAGTCTAAGATAAATCAAACCACAATTTAGAGTCCTGTATTCCAAGTCAGAATATACCTTATTTTGTTGTGACTGCAGTCCTTTAAAAGGTATTTTTCTCTTTCATTGGCAGAACTGAAATAAATACAAAACAGGATCATTCCAAGGCTTGATCTGCTAAACAGCAGGATAATGGGAGTGAAAAGAGTAATTGCTGTGGAGTCAAATGAGAACTCTGTCTAGCAACAAAATATATGTTCACCAGTCCAGAATCTCAAATATAAGCAATTTGTGTTAAATGTCTTTAAATCCTAGGGACAAAACCAAAAACAAAACCAAAAAAACCCAAACCTGAGAAGTGCCTGTTTATACATCCACGGATTATAGTATTTCTAAAGGATGTGAAAGACAAGTCATAACTACCCTGTTAAATTGGAGACAAGTGCTTATCCTTAAACTTTTGGTGCATTTGCCAACCTACTTTTCCCTTCTAGCATCTAGAGTCATGTATTCCAAGCCAAAATACACCTTATTTTGTGGTGACTGCAATCCTTTCCCTGGGATTAAAAGGCATTTTTCTCTTTCATTGGCAGAACTGAAATAAGTTCTTAAAAAATATGGTTCATTCTGAGGCTTGATTTGCTAAACAACAGGATAATGGGAGTGAAAAGAATACCTGCCGTGGAGTCGAGGTACACAAAATGAAAAGTCTTGCTCCTGTATTAGTAACACACCACTGTGCCTTCTTACTCAGACTCAGTTTTCTTTCAGCTTTCCCCTGGCTAGGAGGCAACTAAGAGTATCATCACTGAGAGATGATAAATTAAGCCACAAAAATACAGATATTAACAACAGCAAAACTATTATCCTGGAATTAGAATTTTGAATTGAAAAGAAATTCATAAACCTGCAATTTCAAATACCAATGAAAACTAAAAGATATTCTAGGGAAAAGAAAAAATTTGAGGATATTCCCCAAACTGTGAACACAGTTACAGATGAGTACTCTGCCTTTTTACGAAGTCAATCTATCAAGTAACTGTTGGGAGTGTTTTGACCCAGGGTAAGTGTTCTCTAGCTTGTCACTTCCTTTCACAGCCAGTAAAAGCCTCTCGTGCTACCACGAAATATCATGAGGCAGCATCAACAGTAACACAGTAACACATGCCACATCCTCTATCCCAAGGAATCAGTCCCTTCATTTACTGGATTTCTGATTAAAGTGAAACTAAAGCAATAATTAAGTGATTCAGACAAAATTATCCTCACCTGAGTTACCCATCAGGTCTACTCTGACCTGCTCTAGCTTCTCCTACAAGCTTCTGGTATCTAGAAAACTATTTCCACACCGACTCCATTTAAAGTTATCGCTAACATATGGGTCAACTAACTATGAGAACAGTTCTTCTCATACATGTTATATGTACATAAACAGTTCACCCACAATTAGATCTCTTATTTGGCGCAAACTTCCTGGTATAATGAGTTTTTAGGGGCCCAATAAAAACAGAAGCTTCTAGCAAACCTTTTTTCAGACTCAAGGTGTTTACGTTTTTTTTTCCACTTATGTAGGTTCCCTTATGTACCCCAAGAGCTGATTACTGACAAGCTTTTCTTAAACACCTATAGGGTCTTTGCTCAAACCAATTTTTGTTTTTTTGGGTACAAACCCAAGTAAGGCTCTCCAACTAATGTTTTTGCCATACTCAGGACATATACACAGTTTTTCACCAGCATGGCTTCTCTGATGGGTAAGAAAGTCAGAGTTTTGTTAGGTTTTTTTTTTTTCCCACACTTGCTGGAGGTTTTCCCCAGGATGTTTTTCTGATGTCCAATGAGATGTACATCCTGTTGACACTGAAGGCATTTAAAAGTTGTTCTCTGGGGTGAATTCGCTTGCAATGAGGAGAGCTGAAAGCTCTCGTACTCACTGCAGGTGAAAGATTCCCTACCTGTATGAATCCTGTTGTGAGTGACCAAATTTGAGCTCACACTAGGTTTTCCAACACTCAGCATATATGCAGAGTTTCTCCTTGGAGTGACTGGTAAATTATTTTTTTAGCACAACTCTCTGGGTAATAAAACCACTTCTCACACTTTGTACACTGCAGGCTCTGGTCCCCAATGAAGTCTGAGCTCTCCTCAAAGTCTGATACTCACTTTATATTCATCTTAATGAGTTCTCTGACATGTAAATACTTTTATAGTGTAACTTCTTATCTAGTCAAGACATATGTGAGGCCTCCAAAGCATGGGGATGGCTGAGCTCAAGACCTTTCTCACTCAAATTACAGATGTATGGTTTCTCACCAATGCGTACTGTCTGATGTTGAAGAAGAGCAGAGCTTGGGTGAAAGTTTTTATCACATACACTGTATTTATAATGCAGGTCCTCTGTTTCAGTTCTCATTTTCTGTTGGGCAACAAAATCCATACCAAGGAGGAAACCACTCTCACATGTAGACCACTGATGTGGTTTCTCTTCCATGTGAATTCTTTGATGTACGATAAGGTCTGAACTACAGTTGAAACTTTTCTCATATTCAAGGCATTTAAAAGTGTGAGTATGAGTGGCCTGGTGCCTTATTAGGTTGGCACTCCGAGTAAAACTTCTCATACATTCCAAGCATTTATACGGCTTCTCACCTGTGTGCACTCTCTGGTGCACAATGAGGTCTGATTTCTGGCCAAAGCATTTTTCACAGGCACCACACTTATAGGGCTTCTCCCCAGTATGAACTCTTTTATGTACAATAAAGGCTGATCGGTGTCGATAACTTTTCTCACACTTATTACATTTATAGGGCCTTTCACCAGTGTGAGTTCTCTGGTGGCTAATGAGATCAGATTTCCCACTAAAAGCTTTTTCACACTCCAGACACTTAAACGGTTTCTCACCTGTGTGAGTTCTTCGGTGCCTTATGAGGTTTGTACTTCGACTGAAGCATTTATCACATTCACTACATAGATATGGTTTCTCGCCTGTATGGCTTCGCTGATGGACAAGCAGATCAGAACTCTGACCAAAATTCTTGCCACAAATGTCACATGTATAGAATTTTTTACCTGCATGTGTTCTCTGGTGTCCTGAAAGGGCTAAATGGTGCCAAAAGCTCTTCTCACATTTGCTACATTTATACGGTTTCTCATAATTGTGAATCTTCTGGTGTGAAATAAGATCTGAGCTTTGGATGAAGGTTTTCTCACACATATCACATCTATAAGGTTTCTCCACTGTCTGTGTTCTCTCACACATAATAAGAGCTAAGTTTTCACAGAAGTTTTGTTCACATTCAAGGCACTGGTATATCTGATTGTCTATTTGAGTAATCTCATGCACATGAATAAAAATCTTTTTACCCTTCTGAGGGCATACATGATATATTTTCTTTTTTTGAGTCCTCTGATTATACCTCTCTTCTGAAGTGTACATTTTCTATGACTCTCTTCTAGGGAGTTTTCCAATGGTCTTTCTGACCCATCATTGCCTTTGTAGTCATTTTCTTGAGGAGAACATGGAAGATACATCTGTTTCAAGCCTTTCAGTCATACACAGTCTGCCTTCACAAGTTTCCAGCATCATATACATTAATTCCTTACTTTGTATTTCCAAACCTGTGAGACAAAATAGAAATATTTATAGTCCCATATCTATTAAAAGGATCCTCAAAATTAAAATCTCTGAAGAAAAGAAATTCTGTGTGAGAGCCATAAGTCTTCTAGGTTTTATGTGGGTTGAGTAGTACTTATCCAAAAAATACTTGGGAAGAGAAGCATTTTGGCTTTCCGATTTTGGAGTATTTGCATAAAAATAACAGGATATTTTGGGGATGGGACCCAAGTTTAAACATAAAATTCAGGTAGGTTTCATATCGTCTAAAGGTTTTTATGCAATAATTGTAATAATTTTGTGCAAAAAACAAGGGCTCTTTGTATGGAATAATTGGCACTCAAAAATTACAGATTTTGGTTTCTGAATGTTTGGATTAAGGATGCTTTATCTATATTTAGTTTTCTCTCTGCTAATATAACTGATGATACATATCAGAAACTCCAAGTAACAATTCCTTCCTTTATGAATCTAGGTGACCTCAAAACTAGGCTCATCTTTCCTTTACCTCAGCTGAGAAATCAAGACAAGTCTAATAATAAGTATGCCTGTTCAGAAAGAAAGCAAATCAAAGGGGATTACTTTCCCTATCCTTCACATTTACTCTCTTCAGTAAACTTTTACTATGTTTGACTTGCTCTTCATACATGCAACACTGCCATCCTTCTTCGAACAAGTATAAACTAATGATTGTTTCTGAGTCTTAATTTCAGAGTTTTATTATACTGCACTATAAAGGAACAGTAGGATGGTTATACAATTTTCTGTCTCATTCAACTTTGAAAATCTAAAGTACTTGCAAATTCTTAAAAATATCTTTACCACCAGATTAGAACAGTAAATATAATATAACCAGTTTCTTAATAAGTAACTTTCTTACAAATAAAAACACATTTAAAATAGCTTTAAATGATTTCTTCATAATCAGTATTTTTTATATCATGTTCACTTATGTTTAAGAATTAAAACAGGTACATTACTTTGAGAGAAACAGGCAATCTCATTCATGCACTATATAGGGGGAAAGTCAAAGGGGGAAAAATTCCACTCTTATTTTTGTAAAAGTAGCCAGATATAATCATCTACATGATAAATGAGGAAAACTATCAGCTTTCTACAAGACAGATATACATTTTCACTTACTTCATAAGCACCTGATTACTGCTAATTTATAATATGATGGCATTTCAATTAGACAAAATAAGCCCTACAGGTTTCTATAAACAAAAGCTTTCAGTGGACTAAAGACTAACAGTGATTAATGTGCTCATTCAAAGGATTATGGGTGTTCCTTAAGGAGTACAAGTTCCACCTGTCAATGCCACAGGTAATTGTTTTATAGTAATTTACACATAATTCCAATTAAATTTCTTATCCAAGTTAACACATGAAAAGTCTTTCCAGAAGCAAAAAATAAGGAAACATTTAACAGGAGTCATTTTTTAGAAGTAACTGATCAGGGGCTGGGGATTTAGCTCAGCGGCATAAGCGCCTGCCTTGCAAGCAGGCAGTCGTGAGTTCGATCCCTGGTACCGATAAAAAAGGAAAAAGACCAAAAAAAAAAAAAAGTAACTGATCAAAATTCACCAGCTACTCTTAGAAAGAGGACCTTCCTGGATGGACTCCCTTTCTGTGATGGCTTTTGTATATGCTTAACCAAAAGATGCTTCTATGTGTTATTCCAAGAGCTCACCAAAACACAGATCATGCCACATAGGTAATAAAAAAAAATAGTAGGAGGTAAAAGGTTAATTTGCTCTAGCCTTCTGATAGTACACTAGAATGTCTGCATTTATGATGGTTGTAGGGTCAAGGTGTCATGGTCTGCTCATCAACGGTCCACTCACACACTTCCAAATACAGTATACCAAGAGAGGTATACTGAGTCCCAATGTTAAGCCATGTTGCTGCACAAAGAAACATGACAGAGAAGGAAGCATGGTCAGTACAGCTATTTATCAAATGCCACAATGTGTCAAGATAGCAAAGATGATGAGTGTGGTGAGCAGGAATGCCAGCATATAGCAACAGGTCACAAATGTGAACACAATGGCTACAGCAGAACAGACATCAGTAGAGAAAGCTAAGCTAATGATTTTTATTAACAAAACAGAAGTACACAAAAATAACACTAACACATACATACACATATGCAAACACCCTTCTGCATGCTCCCACCACCTCAATCAGCTTATTCTCTTCACTGCATCTTCTCTTAACCATGGATGACTCTGCCCTTGCTCAATATAAAGACACCATTTCCACTTGTGTACTGGATTCTATCTCTTTTCTTCACAAGGACACCACTCTAGCAACTCTACCCTTCCTCTTACCACCATGTGTTTATTGTTTTATGGGTCATTCTATTTAGCAAACTGTCAATTATTATCTCTCTTCTAAAAACAAGTCTAACCAACAAGAAAATGTCTCTCAACTGGCCCACTCTCAAGCTAGTATTCATTATACTAAACATCCTCAAAAGAAATTAATCTACTTACTGTCGTTATATTAAACATCCTCAAAAGAAATTAATCTACTTAGTGTCTTCAACTCTTATCTCTGAAAGTTTCTGGAATATTTTCCAAACATTCACCCTCACTACTCAACCACAACTGCTCTTGTTAGAAACTACAAGCCCTCAGGGCTGGGGATTTAGCTCAGTGGTGTAAGCGCCTGCCTTGCAAGTGTGCGGACATGAGTTCTATCCCTGGTACTGATAAAAAAAACAAAGAAAAAAAAAACTACAAGCCCCTAAAAAAACTGACACTGTGGCCACTGTGACTCAATTTCCTATTCTTCCCCTACACATTTATACTTTTTACCCTCATTTTTTGCTATTGTTCTAACAAATCAGACCTTACTGTTTCTCCATGGCTTGAAAGGCATAATCTTCAAGGTTCTTTCCCTCAGCTTACATCTCTGCTCAACTGTCACATTCTTTCGAGGCCCTCTCTGGTTATTCTATTCTAAATTAAAATACAGCTTCAAGCCGTGGTGGCTCATGCCTGTAATCCCAGAACTCGGGAGGCTGAGGCAGGAGGATCATTGCGAGTTCAAGACCAGCCTGGGCTACAAAGTGACCTCGTGGCCAGCCTGAACTGCATAGAGACCCTGTCTCAAAAAAGACAAATAAAAATACAGTTTCAACCCAGCTGACACATACATATAGATCCAGGAGACACCGCAGATTGCAATCCTAGCTGACCCAAAGGATCTAGAAGATGTGACACTTAGCATGCTGTGTTAAACACACTATATCATGTCTTCATAATTTATTGCACAGTACTAGACATATTTTTTTGGTCCAAATGATAGCTTTCAGGTGATTTTCATGGAATTGCAGCATTTCTCAAGACTAAAATACTGTTTTCCTCTGCTCATTTGATAATGAGTATCTTTGGATACAAACTTGTATATATATAAACAAGTACATAAACTTGACCCATCAAACAAATCTTTGTTACCCAATAAAATACTTTAAAATTTAGCATGTGTCTGTCCCTAAGATGTAAGTGAATGAAATACTTTTCTATATATTTATTACCAAGATGCTGAGCCAGAGTCCACCTTATTGACTGACACACCTGCTCTTGGGATTTTAAAGAACTGCCTACAATGGTAGGTATCCACAGAAAACACTGCTTTAACTCTGTACCATGTGCATTTTAAGAGCTGTTCATCAAAAAAATCACTAACAACAATATATAATGTAGTAAGCCCCAAACACATTCCTTGTTCTTGTCACTATCAGCCCATAAAACCTTAAGTATCACAGAGAACATTCTTCTTCTTTTCTTCTATTAAACTGAGTTTACCAAGCTAAGTGCCTAGGATCTGTTGTTGGTTACAGTCAGAGGAAGTCAGCAAAGGACCTAGTGCACTAATACTAAGATTCTAGAGTAGCACCAGGCACACAGCTGGCACTTAATAAGCATATCGAATGTAAAAATTGATTCTTGTTGAAATTTCGTCTACTTAATTGTAAAGGAAAAAAAAAAAAAAACTACTGTGATGAGATGTACTCTAAGAGAGAAGAGATACATTTCAAAAGACTGAAGCAATCACAGCTTACCCAGACTCTAGACAGAAGAAAAGCAGCATTCATCTCATGGTCCTGAGAATCTGACTTCTCAAAGCAGATAGTGTTCTGTAAAACACAAGGCCAAGAGGGCAAGAAGCCACAAATGAGAGGATTTAGCACTAGATAAATTTACATACAAGGGATCTAATAGTGAATAAAGAAGAGTTTCCTTAAAAGGAGGAGATGGGTTTTTCTAAAGTAATCTCTAGCTTCTATTCTGTAGAGAATAACAATGATCCTAAACCAACCCATATGACTCTTTGATAAGGTTGAAAATAAAGGTCAACAGAGAAGTCAATGAACTAGGCTCCGGTGGCCCAGGACGGGAGCCACTGGCATCTACTGGGACCTGTGCCATGCTGGAACCTGGAGCACCGGGAAACCAAGCAATATCACCCCTGCAACCCCCGCCCCCCAGGGGCTGTGAGAATCAAACATCTCGTCCCCTGTTGTCCCCCGTCACATCCTGTCCCATCACGCCCGTGGACAACACCACCACTCCCCCACCACCCCTGTTACCAAGTGGGAGCCAGGAGCCAGTGATCTGGACATCCTTTGAGAGGTTGACCATAGGCAATATAGCAAACGGGGGGGGGGGGGGCGCGAGGATTTCCTTCTACCACCTCTTTGAAGGCAAATACTTTTATCCCAGTTTTGCTTTGTTCTAATTAATGGTGTTATTTTAGCCTGTTTTATTTTGTTGAACTTCAATATACATGAAAGTATGGACAGCTATTTTGAAGAGAATGAGAGACTCTCTGACAGCCATTAGTGACTTTCCTATTCTCAGTTTTGAAGACCTCAAATGCCTTCCTCATTCTGTTTGGATCAGTTTCATACTATGTTGTTTTGTATGAATTCTCTTCATGCAAAGACATGGACAACTATTTGGAAGAAAACAAGAGACAGTATGATAGATAGTGATCTCAGGTCATCTAGCTTTGAAATTTGTATCTCTTACATTGCTTTCTTATGTCCTATTTTGTTCTGTTTTGTTATGTTTAATTTTATCCCCTTTAAAAAAAAGTCAATGAACTAGAGAAAAATGATTATAATTCAAAATCCCACTTATTCTGAACAACTTTAAGGCCCAGATTATTTCACAAGATAATTGTAACAAACCTACAAAGGCCAAATAAGCCAAATCATTCAAAAATGTTTTCCAGAAAACTGAAAAAAGGGAACAAGAAAAACAGAGATAACTAATCCTGATGAAAAGCACAGCAAAATTCACAGCCTACTACCACTATCAATGTGAGAAATACCAACAAAAATTTATACTATGTCAAGAATATAATGCACTCTAATCAAGTGGAATTCATTCATTCATTATTAGGAATTTAGTTCCTAATAGTGAGGACATAATGAGTGAAACTCATTAACATGATACCCCATATTTACACATCTATATAGAAAAATCATGTAGCTACTTCCATAGTGCTTCAAGCACTCATCTCTATCCCAAAATGACGCACGGATATTGCTTGTTAAATGTGATACAATCTGCATTTTTTTTATCCTAAAACCAATGCCTTGAATATCTAGTCATTTCCTCTAAGATTAGGAAAAAAGTTAGGAGTTCACCATCTCCTCTCTTATTAAACACTGACTTGGAAATATTATGTAACCAGAAGAGAAACCATATAGTATTGTAATAATTGAGAAGTAGAATGAACCAATGCTAAAACAACTCAAACAATACTGAAAGAAAAAGTTCAAGGATTTATGCTACCTAACTTCAAAACTTATTATAAAGTTACAGTCACCAAAAGAGTGTGCTATTAATGAAAAAGAGACATATAGATGAAAAGAAGAGAATAGAGAGCCCAAAAATATACCCACATAAGTATAATTAGCTGATCTTTAACCAAGGAGTCAAAGAAATTGCAAAAAGTTATACAGGGTTAAAGGGCTAGCTATATGCCTCCCACCAAAGAATTAACACAGAATTTATACCTTTCACAAAAATTAGCTCAAAATGAAGCATACAACACATGAACAGACTTTTAAAAGTGTGATAAATACAATAGAATATTTAGCCATATAGAACAAAGAAATCTTAACAATGTAAGATGAATTTCAAACTACCGTATACCATCATTGATGTACATAGTGTAAAAATGTATACAGTGAACACTTTATTTAAAAGAATAAAATTGTGGTTACCAGAGATTAAAGGATGAGGGGCTATTGTTGGTTAATTTCAATTAGCTGGGAGTAAGTTCAAAAGGTCTATTATATCTCATGGCGATCAATAGTTAATAATAACAAATATAGTTAATAAGCATATTGTAATTTGAACATTCCTGACATTTTAAGTCCTCTCATCACAAAAAAGATATGAAAAATAATGCATGTTAAACAGCTTGATTTAACCACTCCATTATAGATATGTGTGTGCATGTATCTAAATCTTAAGAGTATCTGTATCAAACATGTTAATATATCACAGATTCAAAATTTACTTTTTAAACTGTTTTTTGGACAATAAATGTATTTTTATTTAAGAAATTTCAGGTGATTTCTTTAATACTCATCAGTCATTTAATGAGGTTGTCTTCAAGATAGCCCCTTTTAAAGGAATTTGATGCTTAATCCAGTCATTCCATCTGCCTTGCGGTAATTCTTTTATCTCCAATTAACTTATGGCCAATGACAACTTCAAAACTCCTGGGATCTTATTATCAAAATTTCTTTTGGCAATTCATATTTCAGGAGTCTAGAATTTGAAGTGTACATAGTATTGGTACTTTGTCACATGATCTATACTATATATTATTAACCAATACTTATAATATTGAAAGTCAGTATTTTTCATTATTAGGCAAAATGTTACAGGTCTTACTGTCATCACTGTAAACATTTACTGATGGAAGCATGACTTGTGTGTCTCAATTTTAGCCACAATGACCAGTTTTGGACAGCAATCAACCATGCGCATTCTAATCTAGAATGAGGCTTTGTAAACTTTAAAAACTGATTAGCAAGTTAAACACAAAACAAAAAATTATAAAATTCCTATCCTATTGGAGAAACTCTTGATGACTCTGAGTAAGGCAATGACTTTTTAGATACAACACCGAAGGCCCAATCCATGGAAGAAAACTGTTAAGCTGGACTTCATTAAAATTAAAAACTTGTGCTCTGCAAAAGACATTAAGAAACTGGAAATGTAAACTACCATCTGGAAGAAAATATTTGCAGAAAACACATCTGATAGAGTTGTCCACATATATGAAATATTACAAATGTATTTCATATATACAAACTCTTAGAACTGAATAGAAAAACAAATTGGATTAAAAAAGGGCAACAGACATGCAAAACACTTCTTCAAAGAACATATAAAGATGACTTGTAAGCATATGAATATGTGTTCTATATCACACTGGGAACTTAAAATTAAAATGAGATAATAGTACATGTTTGTTAGTACAGTCAAAATCCCAAGACTGGCAAGATCAAACGCAGGTGAAGCTGCTGAATCATAGGAGTTCTCATTCAATGCAGACAGGACTGCAAGAATGGTACAGATTTTGGAAGTCAGACTTTTGGCAGTTTTTTCAAAAACTAAATATACTTTTACTAAACAACATGTATTTATCCAAATGACTTAAAAATTCATGCTCACATATAATCTGCACCCAAATGTTTACAGTAGCTTTAGTCATAATTGCTAAAACATAGAAACAACCAAGATGTCCTTCAGTAGGCGATGGATAAGTAGTGTGGTTACATCTACACTCTTAACAATACTGTTGAGCGCTAAAAAAGGAAAGCTACTACATCAATGAAAAGATGTGGAAATACCTTAAACAGAAATCACTGATTGAAAGAAGGCAATCTGGAAAAACTATATACAGCACTGTATGATTCCAACTACATGACTCCAAAACACTACATTACATTCTGGAAAAAGCAGAATGGTAATCAGTGAATATGTTCAATCACCACCAAGATTAGTGAGGACAAATAAGTAGAACACAGAAAACTTTCAGGATGTAGAAATGGTACACATGTATAAAGATATATTTGTCAAAATCTGCAAGATATGCAACATAAAAAGTAAACCTTTACGTAACTATGGAGTTTGAGCGATAATGAGTGATTATGATGTGTCAACAGAGATTTACTGCTTATAACAAATGTACCACTTTTGTGCTGTTGAAAGTAGAGGACACTGTGCTATTTATGTGCTGGAGGGGAATGGGATATATGGAAACTTTATTTTTTGCTTCATTTGGCTGTGAATCTAGATGTGTTCTAAAAATAAAGTTCATTGGGGCTGGGGATTTAGCTCAGTGGCATAAGCGCCTGCCTTACAAGCAGGCAGTCGTGAGTTCGATCCCTGGTACCAATAAAAACGAAAAAGACCAAATAAATAAATAAATAAAAATAAAGTTCATTAAAAAATGAAGTAATAAAAAAAGCACATGAAATAATTTTTTAAAAACCAAATTGGCATACATTAAAATACGACAGTACATTTTTAGTCCAGATTGTAGAGAAACAAATATATAGTGCTCATGTTGCAGGAAGTAATGCACATTGTTATGACTTCTGGATGGGAACACAGTACTATAAAACACAGCAAGATACACATTTAATCCTTGACTCAGCAATCTTATTTCTAGAAAGTATCTCTGAAGCCACTCCTCTAATACTATGAAAATATAATGCATAAAAATTATTTATTGTAGCAGTATTCCTAATTGGAAAATAATTTAAAATAACTTGAGTATCCTAATGTTAAGAAAGTGGTTGAACAAGGTATAATGGCACACGCCCATAATCTCAGCACTTGGGAGGATGAGGCCAAAGATCAAGTGAATTTGAGGCCTACCTGGGCTACATAAGTTTGAGGCCAGCCTGCCCTATATAGTAAAACCTTGTCTCAAAAGAATTCCCCCAAAAAGGAAAGTGGTTGGATAAGCAATAATGTATTCACACTATAAAAGAGAATGAGGAGAGTCAGTGTGGTGGTGCACATCTATAATCTTAGGCACTTGAGAAGCGGAGGCAGGAGAATGGCTTTGAGTTTGAGGCTTAGCCTAGATAACAAAGGAAAATGAGGAACACCTTTATGAACCAATGTAGAGTGATTTTCAGCATAAACAGTTAAAAACTGTATTTTGTATAAGAAAATTTTAATTTGTACAAATTAAAACTGATATGACTATCCATTTGGCCAAAAACGAATTAAGGAAAGATAAACTAATACATCTGACTATTGTCACAAAACAGGTGAAAATGGGATCAAAAGACAAGAAAATGGAATTGATGTAAAAAGGTGAAGGAAGACCACTTCAAGACTATATTTTGATATATACATACATTTTTACTTTTAGCACTATATCACATTTTACATATTTAATAAATTAACAAACTAAAGACAGAAAAAATGGTAGCAAAAAACTATAAAATGCAATCCAAGTAAAATCAAGTTTATGTTTTAAATACATAACACAACCACTCACAAGAAGAAAAACAAAACTGTTTAACACAGTAGTAGGACTACTCAAACTTAAAAAGAACTATGAATAACGATTAAACTCTGAACAGGTCTTTGACTCTTTTTTTTTTCCCCCTCCTACTATTAGGAACTAAGATGCTGCCTTGTACTTACAATCTTCCTGCTTCAATCTCCCAGGTACCTGAGATTATAGGTATGTGTCACCGTATCTACCATTCCCCCTGCCCCCACTGCTCATGGTGGTAAGGATGTACCCTAGAATTCAACAAATAAGTACATGTGCTATGGATAATGGCACCTGCATTTCCTACTGCCAGACAATCACAAATACAGAAAAGAAAAAGGTCAGAATGATTCTGTACTATTTAACTGAATTGGATACATGGAGAGAAAATAGAAGTGTGTGTGTGCATGTATGTGTGTGTGCTTTCTTAGTAACATTTGCCAAGAAGTCCCAAAATTGTGTACTCATAAAAATATCAGGGATCAGATTTTGGGTGTTAAGTATTCTCTGAGAGGAACTGAAACTCTTTTGAGAAAAGGTTGATCATAGGTTTGTGTAGAAAGTTAAGAAGAGCTCAGAGCTGGAGATTTAGCTCAGCAGCATAAGTGACTGCTTTGCAATCTCATGGTCACGAGTTTGATCCCCAGTACCAAAAAAAAAACAAAAAAAGAGGTATGCTACAATTATCCTGGGATTAGGATGGAGTTATCATGTACAAATCCTGAATAACGAGATCCAACTAAATCACAGCAATAAAATATATTAACATGGTAAGAATCTGCAATTCTGTGCTCATTAGAGATGGGAAGAGAAAATGTTTTCTTACATTAGAAAGGCCAACAATTAATTGTGAAAAAAAGGTGAAATTTAAAAAAAATTTAAATTAGGCCCAATTTTTAAAAATAAGGCAAAAATTAGCTAGTAGTTTTATGATCATCAAGACAGACATTTCCGCAAGCCATTTAATGATTACAAGGCCTAAAGAGTAACCAAGAGATCACAGTGAATGAAACCAGCACTGAGACAAAGCAACATCACGTGGCTTCTCATAGGATACAGAGGACATCACATCACTTTGGGTACTTTGCCAAAACACGTAACCATTTCAATGCAGGTTCATGAGGAAAGAGCAAACAAACCAAAGTGAGGGAAATGCTACCAAATAATGTAGACATTTCAAAAACAAATAAAAGACAAAATCTGAAAATATGTTTCTCAGTAAAGAGGACACTGTAATTTCATAAAATGACCACAAAACACCTCCCCCCCTTTTACTCTGAAAGATATTAGTAGAATAACTGGCTAAATTTGAATAGTATGTATAGATTACAGTACAGTTTGAATGTTCACTTCCTGACTCTAATCATTTTTTTTTTTTTTTTTTTTTTGGTACTGGGAATAGAACTTAGAACCTTGTACTTACCACGAAGGTGCTTGTGCTGCTGAACTACATCCCCAGTTCCTGACCCTGATAACTGTACCTGCTACGTAAGAGATGTTTTTTGTTTTTGGAGACAGGGTTTCACTAAGTAGTTCAGACTGGCCTTGAACTCACCATGTCACTCAGCACAGGCCGGCTTTGAACTTACTGCAATCCTTTTGCCTCAGTCTCCCAAGTGGTGGCATTACAGGTATGCAACACCAAGACAGTATTCTTCTCTTTAAGAAATAAGCAATTGAGTGTTTCAAACAGGCTTTTCACTTAGGGTTTGAGGAAAGAATTATGCACCACAGAAAATGTATTTAAAAATTATCTTTTCAATTCTCCCCAGAACAAGAGGTACTTAGTAGCATTCCACATATATTGAAGTTATGTAATTCATCATACACTTTAGGACTTACTTTTCTCATAATTTAAAAAAAGGCATTTTGTCTACAACCTGATTTCAAATGGTTAAAAAATACATGGCCATGTGTACACAGAAAAAACAGTAGAATATTAGCATGTAGAGAATACAGGTGAAGAGTATATAGATACTTTTGTATTCTTTTAAGTCTGAATTATTTCAAAATTAAAAGGTTATTTTACCTTGATTTTTCAAAAAACATAGTGGCTGAAGATTGTTATATTCTGGTAGATAAAACTGATAGATAATTTAAGCTCTGGAATCAAGAGTTTTGGTTCAAATTTCCACAGTGCTTGTTTGTAACTATAAGAACTTGGGTTAAGTCACTTACTCCTTCAATTTTAACTTCTTCTGTGATAACACAAGTAAAATATATGCCCCAGGCAGTTGCTGTAAGAACTAGCACACTAAAGATAAAGGACTTTGGTCTGAGAATCTCAATAAATGACAGGTTCTATTTTCTTCCACTTTCACATGTTCAAAACTATTAACACTTATTGAACTCACCCTTTGTACCTGACTTTGTATATCAAGTCTGTTCATAACTTCTTTAAAACGATTAAATGAAATAATTCAGCCAGTTAATGATTAATATGAAGTTTAAAAGAGAAGAAATTCACCTCAAAATCACAAGACAAGACCTGAGCAATTGTTCAAGATGGTGGGTTTATGAGAATTTTGTCTCTTAAAATGTGTATTACTGCCAACCTCAAAAGGAGAGTACAGAAGAAATAAAGCATTGAGTTTGCTAATGGCTTGGCAAACTGATCAGATGACTGCCTAAAGCTATTAGTACCATATGTGCCCTAAACAACCAAGAAAAGTATGGTGCACCAAAAAGAAATTTTTTAATTGAGAAAATCTTCCCCTATCCATGTCTAAACCCTTAAGATGTCAGCACTTAGAAAATAAACAATCTGGTTGTCAAACTTCAAAGTAGACAACACTTCCTGAGTTTAAAATATTGTTTCCTATCCCACCTGGGAGTAAAATCCAGTTTTTACTGCCTTACATAATGTGGTAGCTTTGCCCACCTCAGAGGCTTTAACTTGCTTCTTCGGCCTAGAATACCTCTCTTCCAAATAGCCTGCTCCTTTATTTAAGTCTGTCTCAAAATTAGTCAAAGACGACACCCTACCTTACCTAAGATAGCTCATGTTCCCTTAGTCATTTTATTTCTCTCCATAGCAGTTATCTCTATGTAAGTTCGTAGTACACAACGACCACTACACAGGCCTTAGATTAGGGAATATTTTGTTCCATTTTCAATGATTATAGGCCTTCTCTCATTTAACCCTTCCAATAGCCCTGTAAAATATGTATTATTACCAAGTGTTTATATCCAACAGATAAAAAAAAAAATCTGTTTATAGCAGTGAGTTAATCACTCAAGAACTCACAGCTAGTTAAGTATGAAAGCCCGAGTTTGATATCTATCTTTTTCTGACTTCAGAGCCTGCACATGTAATGGGCATAGGTCGTTATGTAGGAAATCAATCAAGGAGCAATTATTGCAAGCCTATCACGAACCAACAGGCATTCCGGAATGGAGCAGAAAATAGACGTTGGCAGAACAGGGCCCAGGAATTTGCCATTTTAGTGGCTAAGGAAAGGCTGTCACTTTTTGCCGTGTATGTCTCCCATTCCTTCCTGTCCTGCTCCTTTCCAAATCCACATTTCTACAGAAACACAGAGCCTAGTGTGTTACTTACCATAACACAAAAGACTTGACTGACTTCTCTTTTTGCTCCAAAAAGATCTCTAGTCCAGAACTATTCACAATAGTTAATTCTTCCCTCTCCTAAAGGGGAAAAAAAATTTTTGACAATGCAGCTGACTTTGTGAAGTTTGTAATTTTTTAGCGTTTGCCATTTAAATATCGGTCCTATTCAGTCTGGTCAACACCCTTCAATCACATCTTACCTCTTTCCGTCTTTGTTTACATCTTTTCTCTTACCAGAACTATCAGAAAGTTCCTTCCTGACATGCTCTACACAAAATATCAAAAATCTTTCAAAAAAACCATAGGCCTTATTTTCTTGGTTATTTGAACTTTTCTTCTGCTAATTTTGTATTATCCCAATTTCTAAGGCTAAAGATTCATTTTTCCAACACTACAAACCTCAAAGTGCAAGAGTGATATATTTACAATACAAATTTATATACGTTTCAGGCCTCCGAATGAAATGGTTATGGGACGATTAAAAAAACCAAATTCTGCAAACAGATTCTACTGCAATACAACTAATCTTTGCACTGACGAATGGAGAGGGATTTATTCAACATCCTTGATTTTCCCCCATGCATATAAATGCTGTCTGGCGTAGACAAGTATTTATTCCACAAACTATTAGGCTGAAAAGGTCTTAACTTTTCAGGGACCGTGGCACAATCCTGTTTCTACATCGCGGAGGGGCCGGCTGCTCCCCTCCCCCCGCCGCCACCCCACCCCACCCCACCCCACCCCCGACAGGGCCCGCAGCGCTCACACAGCAGCCCCCGGAGCCGCCCCTCGGCCTGCGGGAGGCACTTCCGGTTACTGGCGAACACTCGGATCCGGCTTCCAGGCGGCCGTAGGCTTCGCAGCAAGGGCTCAGGAGGTTTAGTTTCCAGAGGGAAAGAAAGCGAGTCTGAGAGGGCTACGAGAACTCGGAGCAACTCCCTTGACGCTAACCGGTGAGGGGGAGGCCGCGCTCTCGGGGCCGACGAGGGCGGATACGCAAACCCTTTCAGTCCAGTTAGGAGGCGCCCGCACAGCTCCACCCCCGTGGGCCACGTGACCTCCGCACGACGACGAAAAGCTACACCCCCAGCCTCCGAGCCAATGGGTATAGAGGTTCCGGGAGGGGGCAGGGCATAGGGGCGCATGCACCTGGGGCCTTCTGGTCAGTGCACTCTTGTAGTGCTGAGCGGTTGCGGGAGACCTCTACTATCTGTCTTGCACAAATTATTGCCGGTGGCTCCGCAGCTTGTATTGCAATCTCCAACATCTGTTCTCTTTCCTCACGCTTAGTCCAGGATTAGCGTCACGTAGATGCTCCAGATTCCGAGAAAAACAACCCAGATTGTGTGGAAGAGATGGGGGATTCTAGCGGAAGCGCTAGCCACGAGCTGCTTGGAGAGCTTTGAAAGAGGAGTAGTGGGGTCCTCGTGTGGCGGAGGAAACAGCGCAGGAAAAAGGAGGGTTGGAGGATCCCCGATCTTCCTGATTGTGCTTCAAGGCTGGAATAAGCTGAAAGTAATCACCGGTGTGTGGTGGAACAGAGTTGAGATTTCCTAAAGAGTGAATAGTACATATTTTCCCTGCTCAGTTAGTGGAGAGAAAACGTTTTTTAAATCTCTGGACGTCGTGGGGCGTGGTGGCGCGCGCCTGTAATGCCAGCACTTTTGGGAGGTTGAAGCCGCAGTATCGCCAGAAATCCGAGATGAGGATGGACTGCATATGGAGACCCTATTTCAAAAAAGAAAAAAAGCCCCCAGATATCAAAAGGGAATTTATTCTGTATAGAAGACTGCAATATGGTCCAGGGCTTGGATTGGGAGCTACGTTTTGATATTAGGGACCAGGAAGGACAGCTACCTGTTCAAAAGTAATCGTGTTTCTCCTTTTGGAATTCTGCAGAGGAACCGCAGGGTATTTATTTTCATTTTTGCTTTATATGAAACCTCGTCAGTGAGGCGAAAATATTTTACTCTGGGTCATCTTGTTATTTAAGTAATAACTTTTAGTAACAGTGTAAGGTATGTGTGAAACACTTCTAATCACTTTTCGCGAGTTGTTGCATTCAGCTGTGACATAAATGGCATTACATGTATGTTGCTGTCTTGGGAAGAAACTGGTGCACAAAGTCTGACTTGCCAAGAAAATATGTTTAGGAACTGGTGATACTGAATTGTGAACTGTGTGGTACCAGATCTGATGCTTGCAGTCGGTGTTCTCATGGCTGCTGAAGTAAAGAAACGTTGTGGAAAAGTATTGGAAAAATTAAGCAAACTTTATTCTGCTTTATTTATAAGGAGGTCTAGATTAGTGTTGAACTCTGTAACCTTTTGTTTCAAGAGGTGTTGGCCCAAAGTGCTAATTATGTGAGTTCACTTGATATTTATCAAACACCTCTAATTCACCTAATATGCTGGATATTAGGAATTTAAACACAAGTAAGACTCAGGACCATTCCTCGGTCTAGAATGGAAACCAGAGGCATCAGAAGTAGTGTGTTGTAGATAGAACTTGCCTAAGGTAGTCTGGAACTCCCAGAGATGGGGTACTTATTTTCTGGGGATTTAGCTCAGTGGCATAAGCGCCTGCCTTGCAAGCAGGCAGTCGTGAGTTCGATCCCTGGTACCAAAAAAAAAAAAAAAAAAAAAAAAAAAGAGTTAAGACTTTGAGAAAAAGGACAGAGTAGAAGAGAAGGCATAAAGTAAACGAATAGAAGCAAGGACTTGGTTGAAGATGAGACTAAATAGAAGACAGGAAAATTGCAAATATTTGCATCTAATTTTAGTTGGTGAACTAGAAAATAATTTTGTAGGAAATAGAAAGCCATTCCTAGGATTTTAAAGTATTTTTTGTTTTGTTTTTAGTTTTAAGCATGACAAGGATAAAAAGAAGGTTCGGCAAACAAATTATGAGGAAAATAAAAATAGAATGTAGCAATCTAGAGAGGAGAGTTTCAGTGGAGAAATTAATAGCAGTGTCAAATATTAGGAAGAAATCAGGTGAGATAAACACGAAAGTCTATTGGATAATGTTTCCATGGTATATACCAGTGATGGTGAACTTTTTGGAGACTGGTGTTCAAACTGCAACCTAAAACCCATTTATTTATCACAAAGTGCCAACATTACAGTTAAACATGCATATTGACATTTGTTTAAAAAAACAACTCATACATTTACATCTTTTGTCTTAAAAGACAAATATAATAGCAAAGCTTTCAATGCTGCAGTTTTTTATTGAAAGATAAAAGTTTGCATTTGGCATGCCTTTGCATACTTAAAGTGAACTCTGTGTGTGTGTGATCTTAAGACAGGGTCTCACTCTATTCAGACTGGCCTTGATCTCATGGCAATCCTGCTGCCTCAGCCTTCCAAGTACTGAGATTACAGGTGTGCACCATCACTCCTGGCCAATGTGATCTTTGCTTTTGAATGTATGCTGATAATTTGTCACACCTTGACTGGAATGACTTGGCTCCGGCGCTGACAAAGAAGGCTTTACATGCCTGCTGCAGCACACAAACCGTAAATTCACCACTGTTATATACTAGGTTCCAGGAATTGTTATAAGAACTTAATATATAGCTCATATAATTGTCCAATAATCAGATGTTTAATCCTCACAACCCCATTTTATAAATGAGGAAATCAAAGTTCAGAAAGATTATTTGAGCCTGCTCATATAAATGATAAGAGGTAGAGTGAGGATTTAAACACAGGCTGTTTTGTGATTGAGTCTGCATGTGAAGACGATCTGAGTTTAGAAATCAAAAGGTGGCTTTCATCTTTGTTACTACAGCTTCTGTGGATTGTAGTAAAAAGAAAAATGGGCACACAGGCAATTTCTTCTGCTTTTTGCAGACTCTTGGCTATGAAGTTGAACAGAGAGTACATAACTACCAGAGATCTCAGGATTTATACAGGAAGCTGAACCTCGGGCTTCAGGATAGAATAATTTTGGTATGTTGCTAGCAGGAAAATGTATTAGAGAAAAGATGAAGATTCCAAAAAGGGAGATTTGATATAGAGAGTCCCCCTCAGGAAAAAGAAGAGACTGAGTTCTGCAGAAGTGGAGAATAATTAGCTTTAAACAGGAGAATGGATTTGTGCTAATTACTCTGGTCTTGTTCAGAAACTTTAATTATAGAATTTGGAGGGAAGATCCCAACTGGCCACTGGTGTCATATTTGTCAAGCTCTCAGGGTTTTTTATTTGTTGTTTCCCAGAACCTGGGTCAGAGGAAATACATGTATTTTCATTTTTTAAAATCCTATCTGATTTAATCCAAAGCTAACAACCAACTGCATTTTTAAGGGAAGTACATCATTGTGTTGATGCTTCATCTATTCTTATGGGACGACATCGCTGCTTTTTATTTCCTGATTTCCTAAGGCATCTTAGATTTTCCCACTGAAGTACACATAAAAGAAAGAATAAATACAAAACTAATCATGTAAATTGCACTCTACATTATGATCTAGTTGAGCACTGAAAATAGTAACGAAGAAAAACTTTGTTCCTCCTCTTTAAAAATAATACTTGAAAGTGAAGTAGATGAAGTAGAGGTGGCAAGCATGAAAAAATTACTTGTTTCCTTGTTATATCTATGGCAGCTAACACCAATCAGTAATGATTTGTTTTCCACTCAACAAAAACTTTAATTTGGTTTCTTTTCTATATAGGATGCACTATAACTTGACCAGAATGAACTCTAATTTGTTATGTGTGCATAGAAGTTTTATTTAGCAAAGTGCATCAGAGGAGACATCAGCCAACACTTTGGAGGCATTGTGTTATGCTATCTGGCATGAGAATCAGAGGAGATTACAAAAGTCAACATCCCAAGGCTCTCAACACTCTGAGGGAACCAGGTTGCTTCTAGTCTTTTTGTCATCATCCCTTGAATGTGACTTTTCTTTGGTAGGTAGAAGTCTTAACTATTGCATTTAAATTTCAGATAGAATGAGAAAGGGACAAAAGAAAAGCTGGGCTGGGGACACAGCCCAGTGGCACAAGTGCCTACCTGGCAAGTGTGAGTTTGTGAGTTTGATCCCCAATACCAAAGAAAAAGAAAAATCCAAAAGCATGTGCCATCTCTTATAAAGGAGATTTGCTAAAAGTTGCCATACAACCATGCTACCTTCATTTTTTTTTTGGCAAGATTGTAGTCAATTCTATTCCAACAGGTAAATTCTATTTGTATAGAAAGAGATGAATATGGGTATTTCATGGAAGTCTCCAGTGGAAGGAAGGACAGGAAGAGGGCACATAAAATGATTGTTTATTGGAGCTGGGGATTTAGCTCAGTGGCATAAGTGCCTGCCTTGCAAGCAAGCAGTTGTGAGTTCAATCCCTGGTACTGATAAAACAGAAAAAGACAAAAAAAAAAAAAAAAAAAAACCCCAATTGTTAAGTGTAAGAAATATTGGGTTAAGACAAGTGTTTAGTTTTTATTTTCTACAGGACTTTTGCAACTGTTACCATCCTCTCACACATTAACTACACAGTGGTACATTGGTTCATGAACTTAGTTTGTCCTATGATTTTGGATGCACATGTTTGTGTTTGAGTGGGAAAGATGACCATGGTCATGTTTGTAAACTGATGCAGATTTTGCAGATAAAAAACAAAATTCTGCCAAATGCTTGTCTGCAAAAACAAATTGTTTGTAAACAAAAGCAGTCATTAGCCAAGGTACCACTGTTACCTTTCTTCCATTGGAATAGAACTCCAAACTTTCTTGGAAATAATCTAGCCATCAGAAAAAAAAATTGACTCCTACAGCTAAAGAGGGTGATCGGACAATAATGTCCACTGAGTAAGAAGATCAGGGAGCTTAGAAAACCTGGAGAATGTCAGGATTTAAAGAAGTGAATTTGGTAACATGAAGGGTCCAGTGTGCAGAGAGAGAATGGACAGAATGGAAAGGGCAGAAGCTCCTTTGGGAACCTGAAGAACTGCAACTAGAGATTGGCCACATACGAAGTTTCTTTTCAAAGGAATTCAAGTGTAGAAGCAAACTCAAGCCTTACGCTGTTGTAGTTATCAAAAGTAGATCTAGGAGGAGACAAGAATGCTTTCTCATCTAAGAGAATCACATTTCTCTATGAAAAATTGAATCCCTTTTAAAGAAAGGAAGAAAGTGTAAATCTAAATATAATTTAAAGTGCTAGAGCTTTATATTTGCTATTCTTGTGAGGATGCCAGGACAGTTCCTTGTCTTTTCCTGGTCAGATATTATTACTTTATATAGGTCTTTAAAATCAGTATGATGGTGTTATGTAATATTCAAAATTTCTAGGGCTGGGAATTTAGCTTAGCAGCATAAGAACCTGCCTTGCAAGTGCACAGTCCTGAGTTTGATCCCCAGTACCAAAAGAAAAAAAATTTTTTTCTCTAACATTTGGCTATGCCTTTCATTTCTTTTGTCTTTTGATTACCATGTTACCTGACTAAGCACTGGCTTTTTCGGTGACAATTTTGAAAACTATCACAGAAAAGAGGGTAGGTATGAGATCTATGGTAAAAAATTGAACTAATAATATTGGCTTCAAGAAATATCTGAGCTTTCTTTTCAACTGTAAATTTCATTAAAAGAAAGATTCAGTAAGTCCAGTTTCCTAAAAGCTAGAAATATAAAAACAATTACATCATAATGAAATTCATTTAAAAAGTGAGGAAGAATGGAGTAAAATGGGACTTATAGTCTAAAAATAATAATCAAGATTCAGAAAATAGACTGCCTGCAACAGTAATATTGTCAATTAGAAACACTGGTTAAAAGAATTTTTAAGTTGAGGAAATAAAACACATTTGACAACAGCTATATTTGATATTTTATCCTTCTTTATTTTTTTCTATAATTTGAAAATTATAAGCTCCATGTCTATTACTTGATTCATAATCTAGATATTTTAATGCAACTGCTTAAACTAAGATAATATAATTAATTCTATATATTCATCTGAATAAACTTTCACACTCTCTTCAAACTAAAATTTTATTTTTATTTTTCAAGAGTAACAGTGATATAAAAACAATGTGTGATAAGCAGAAACTAAAATTTTCTCCCACAGTGATCCTTGATAAAGGAATCTCAGTGATGTGCTTTAGAAGAAAAGGGGAAAATACATAGATCTATTTCTTCAATTTTCTGAGACTTGGGACAAATTAGAAAATGAAATGAAAAATATTTATATTTTATCTAAAGAGTTGCAGTGCAAGTCAAAATGAACACACAGGCAAACCTAATTACATACTAACTTTTTGAAAAACAGGGATGAATTACGTATACTTTGCAAAATATGGTAGAACTAATATGGCAGACAAAAATAGCATATGTGATTGAAGAGAGTATGAAAGTTTATTCACACACAATTGAGATACAGAATTAATTACATTATCTTAGTAGAAGTAAGTAGTTGCATTTAAATATCTAGATTATGAATAAAATGATAGACACAAAGTTTAGGACTGTCAAATCACACAGAAAATAAGGTATAAAATATCAATATAAATGTAGTCAAAGATGAAAAATCCATAATAAAATTCTGTCACCTAATACAAAAATGACACAATAAAAATGAGCTTAATTCTTTCTGTAAAAGACTTAGGCTAAAAAAAAGAAAAGCCATATATGGTGCTTGTAGGAGATACTTAAAAATTAATGATTCAAAATTTGTAGTATAAGGATATATATTTTACCTAATCAATCTAGAAAAAGAGAAATGATATCTGATGACACAAGATACTATATAATAGACAAAGCCAATATTCTAGAGAAAAGTTTAATAAAAATGGAGCAGTATCAAAAAAAGGGAATAATTTTAACCTAAAATATCTTAATTGTAGCCAGGCATGTGGTGCATGCCTGCAATCCCAGTACTTGAGAAGCTGAGGCAGGAGAGTCATTGCAAGTTTGAGACAAGCCTGGGCTACAAAGTGCGTTCAAGTACTGCCTAAACTGCATGGTGAGACCCAATTGCAAAGCATCAATATCCATAATTGAAAGAAATTTATTTAAAATCAAAAAACATTCTAGTAGAAGTCTAAACATATCTTAGTATCATATATTGAGAGAAAAATCAGTAAGGTGAGAAGATTGGAGATATATGATTAGCAAAATAATATACAGAAATTGTAGATCATTAATTGACAATACAGAGTCCACCAGAAAAATACATGCTTACTTCAGGAAAAAATATTATGATGTTTTTTCAACAGGTGGTGTTACCCACATCTGGGGAATCCTAGAGGATGTCATATATTGCAAAAAACTCACTACAGTGATGGCCCTTAGAGAAGAAGTTGAAAATGCATGTACAGGAATCTCAATGACCAAGGTTACTGGAGCAGCAGTTTGCCATGCTAATGCCATGCTAATGGTCAGAAGCTAATGGCCACCGCCTTGAGCACCACTTGTAACTCTAGAGGCCAAAGGTAACTTGTATTAATCTCATGATGTCTCAATAAATCTAGTATTAAAATAGTTATACATGTTTTTCTTTTCCTGAAGTGTGTATACATTTTGGGGGGGACAGATGGTATGCATTCTTCTCAAATATGCACAGTAATGTTTGTGAAAATGTACCTCAGCATAAATTTCAACCAAAGAATTCAAATTATCATAATCAGGTTATAATGAAATTAAGCAAAAGACAAACAGATTTCTTTGAAACTCATGAATCAAAAACAATAATGGGTTTTATTTCTTTTCGCTGCCTAAGTGCTCTGGCTAATACTTTGAGTTACTATGTTAAATAGAAGTGACCTCTTCTGATCTTAGAGGAAAAACTTCCAACTTTTCATTATAGTATGATGTTAGCTGTAGGCTTCTTATACATAACTTTTATTGTGTAAAAATCCTGTAATAATTCACTGAGATTTTTTTTTAATTATGAAAAGATGTGAAATCTTGTCCGTTTTTTTCTGCATCATTTTTTTACCCTCCTTTGGTCAATGTGGTGGAACGCATTGATTTATCTTTGCATCACTAGAATAAATCTCACCTCTTCATGGTGAATAATCTTTCTTAATGTAGTACTGCATTTGATTTGCTAGTATTTTTTTGAGGATTTTTACATCTATGTTCATCAGAAATACTGGTTTGTAGTATTCTATTCTTGTAGTATCTTTGTCTGACTTTTGTGTTAGCATACTGTTGGCCTCTTAAGATTTAGTTTTGGTCGATTGCATATTTCTAGAATTCATTCATTTCTTATTTGTTATGCAATTTGCATGTGATTGTTCATATTAATTATTTGGGACTTTGGGATTCTGTGTTAGTTGTAATATTTCCTTTGTAAATTGTGATTTTTGAGTCCTCTTTTTTTCTTAATCATTATAGCTAAAAGTCTCTCAATTTTGCCTTTTTTTTGTATTTCAGCTTCTAGTTTCATCCATCTTTTCCACTGTTTTATCTGTCTCTATCTTGTTTATTTCTGCTGTGACCTTTGTTATTTAATATCTCTGTTAAGTTTGTGCTTACTTTGGTTTTATTTTTTTTCTTCTAGTTGAGATATAATATCAGATCATTTGAGTTTTATTTCTGTTTGATGCAGGCATTTATTGTTTTTTTTCTCTTTAAAGTAAAAATTTCAAAAAAGATACTTGATAGGATTTTAGTCTTCTTAAATTTGTTAAGACTTTTTTATGGCCTAACATATTTACTTTGGAAAATGTTCTGTGTTCAGCTGAACACATTATGCATTCTCTTGCTGTTGGATGGAATGTTCTGTAAATATAAGGTATGGCCTGTATTGTCTGTAGTTCAAGTCCAATGTTTTCTTTTCCATTTTCTGTCTGAATGATCTGTCCAGTGTCAAAATGAAAGCGTTGAAATCTCTTATTGTCTTTCACTCAAAGTCGCCCTTCAGAGTTATTGATATATTATCTTAGTTACTTTCTTTTTGCAGGGACAAAATACCTGACACCTAAGTTAAAGAGGAAAGAACGATTTTAGCTCATAATCTTAGTGTTTCAGTGCATAGTCTGTTGGCTTCAAGGCAGGATGGCATGGCAAAAGAGAAACAATTCATGGTGTGGCAAGTCAGAGGTGGGCACCCTTCCTTCTACTTTCCCATTTATTCCATCTGAAAGGTTTGGCCCAGACAGGACACCGTAGCCAGGAAAGCCACAACCAGAAGCAGGAAGCCCCATCTTGCCCTGCCCCTAGGAAGTTCTGTGACGCCATCTTCCCGCCCCTGGGAATTTACATATGGCGCCAAACCTAGGACCAGTGGGCTACCTGTGTATCCGTAATGCCCGCCTTAGGTTCCACCCCAAACCGAGGCTATTTACAGGCCCCCACGCCACGTGTCCGCCGGAGAGATCGCCGGACGCCAGCGGTGGGGTTGCCGGTCACCTCTCTCTGTGTTCTCAGAATAAAGGCCGCTTTTTATTTTATATTTCTCATCTTTTGTTAATATTTTTCATCTTTTGGAAATAACTCTATCACCATCCAAATTACAAACCTACTAGATAGTGCTACCCACACCCAGAATGGGACTTCCTGTTATCTAAACCCCAAACCATGCTAAACCAATCAGTATACTAATCCAGTTCTCACACGCCCTTAATCCAGTACTACACACCCTTAATCCAGTATCACATGACCCAGCCAACCTCCCAAGTCCCACCTAAGTATAGGCACATGAGGCTTTAGAGAGACATCTAGATATAAGCCATAGCAAACCTTATATTGAGTGCCTATATATTTTCAACTGTTACAACTTCTTGATGAACTGACTTTTTTTTGGAAGGGAATAAAACAAGACAATAAAATGGAATAAAACAAAACAGTGAAAACAATATTGGATTCCAAAAACAAGATAGAAGAAAATCCTTCATAGTTGCTATATTGCATATTGTTATCCTGTAAACAGGTGCTCAAGACTACTGGCTTTAGGCCTGCAAAGTCAGTCAGTCAATACAAGTTGAGTTGTTTGTTTTTAACCTCACTTGCTATCATCTTAGCCTGTGTTCCTCTAAATCAGTCAGTTGCCTACTGGGGGGAAGGGAAGCACTTCTTGTCTCCCAGGCCTCACACTAGCTGGCTCATGAGAGAGGCAGGTTGACTTTTTGGTTCTCTTCCTGGCCTAGGACTGTTGCAGGCTCATGGGAAGGGCAGGTTGACTTCTTGGTTCTTTTCCCGGGCCACAACTACCACTAGATTTCCCAGCCACTGACTTAAAGAAGGGGTGGCTTGACTCCTTGAACTGACTCTTTTACCACTAATTATTAAGACTTTGTTTGTTTCCTTTTACCTTGATTTAAAATCTATTTTGTCTAATATAAATACAGCTAGGCCTTTCTTTTTTGTTTTGCATTTGCTAATGACTTGATCTTAGATACAGAGAATTTTAAAAATACTACTGAAAAGCTGTTAGAACCGATAGACAAATTCAGTAATATTGCAGGTTATCAAATTGACATAAAAAACCAGTAATATTTTTAAATACTTAATAACAAACTGTCCAAAAAAGAAACTTACAAATTTGTTGTATTATCAAAAAAATAAAATATTAAGGAGTGAAATTAACCAAGGGCATGAGAGACCTGTACCTTGAAAACTATAAAGCACTGATGAAAAATAAGAAGATGCAAATAAATGAAAAAATATCCCACATTTACGGATTAGAAGAATTCATATTGTTACAATGTTGATGCTATCTAAAGTAACATGAAGACTTCATGAAATTTCTATAAAATTCCAAAGTCATTTTTCATAAAGAAAAAGCATTCCTAAAATTTGTGTGGAATCACAAAAGATATTTAATGTTGTAACCTAGTTCTAACCAATGCTCCTCCTTTCTGTTCTGTATGCGCCGTTTCAATAGAGATTCAAATTCCATTTCCAGTAAAGACTTAAGTTTCAGTTTCTTGTAGTCCCCCCACCCCCTTCAGCCTATCTGTAATACAATATGCTATCCTTAAGAAACATTTAACTACAAGGAAGTTACAGGAGATACCAAGAAGCCCAGATGCTATCAAACTGTGTCAAAGTTTGCAACATTCCTGGGTTTTTGGCTTTAAAACCCAACCCTTTTAGCTGTAAGGTGCACAGTCTCCATATTGGCTCCTGGAGATTGCGTCACCAGGCCTGGCCTAAAATAAAGCCTTTGGCTCGCTAAATTTTAATTTCTTGCTTCCTTGGGTTTTATTCCAGGGTCCAAGCTGTCACATTTGGGGGCTCATCTGGGATGGAAGCAAGACCCCTGACTCAATTCTGAACACCTAAAAGTAAGTACTCTGGAGGGATTAATTAGACCATAGTCAGTTTGCACTTTGGGAGGGAACATCCTCAATTTGGGGAGTGGGAACCTCCCGAGGACAGAGTCAGTTGGTTTTTTGGACAAATTTCATCCGTTTGTGAGTCTGCCCCGAGTGGGGAACCGCTCCATTGGGAGGGGATGCCTTCAATTTGGGGAGTGGGGGACCACTCCATTGGGAGGGGACACCCTCAATTTGGGGAGTGGGGAACTGCTCCATTGGGAGGGGACGCCCTCAATCTGGAAAGTGAGGACCTCCTGAGGACAGAGTCAGTTGGTTTTTTGGGACAAATTTCATCCATTTGTGACTCTGCCCCAGGAGGGGATCCGCTCCACTGGTTAATTTGTTAATTCCTCCAGATCCCAAAATTTGACCACTTCCAAAATTTGGCCAATTTTTGAGCAAAAGCCATTTTTGCTGCAGCTTGTCTTGTCTTGTATGTCTGTCTGTGTGTCCATTTGTTCTAATTGTTTTCTTTTGGTTACCCCAAATCTAACAGAACATTCTCTCCTAGGAATCCCTTCTATGAGCCCAAAATGGACAAAGGGATTTAGATATTTATGTTCAGTGTTTTTGTACTTTAGAATTGTCTACCTGTTTGAATTTGTTACTAACTTAGGGGCTCGTTGCACATTTCTCTTGCAGGATCCATATGGCTTATTAGACTCAAGGTTCATAATAAAAAATTATTTCCTTTAGCTCACCAAACTGTACATGAAACAACCTTTGTTTGTGTCTTTTATGTTGTGGTACCTTGTTTAATGTTTTAGTCCTCAGTTGATTACTTGCAACCTTGGCATGCCTTTTTAAAAAAGTATTTTTCTTTCTGGTTAAAATATAAACATATGTGCACATATATATGTATATTTATGGTTTTTAAGAATCATATCAACTTTACCAAGTAAAAACCAGGTCATACTGTAATTGAACCAGTTAAAAGGTTACAGTTTTTTAAAATATAGCATTTTAATGTGGTAAAAAGACATAAAATGATTAAATATGTTTTAGACTACTAAAAGGTCACTTCAAGGATTTTGTTAAAGGTTTTAATGTTGTCTAAAAAGCAAGAGAAAAAGGTAATTGACTAATAATAAGTTTTAAAAAGGGTGGTTTTGTCTTAAAGTAAAAATGTAAAAGAAAAAATTGCTTTATGTAGCATGGCTATTGTTGGGGGCTCTTAAGCAGTTTTGTGTTGCAAATCAAGAGCAAAGAGCCCAACAGGATAATTTACAATACTGTGAGTTTGGGGAAGGGGAATTTCTAGAAATGTTATAGATTGTAAAAATAGAGTTGAGATTTTGATTGTAAAAAACAATTTGTCTTGTACTGAAAAAAAAAGGCCGATCTAAATTTAAAAGAAATAAGTATTGTGCTGATGTGATTGGTGATGATAAAAATAAAATACAAGTTCTTGCAAAATTCTTGCATGTGCTGTGGACATCTTGTTACCCATGAAAAAGCCCTTTTCGTTAAATGTATAATTTCAGTAAAACGATGGCCTGCCACGCAGCACCCTGGAACAAAAAGCTGTGTGTCATCCAGATGAAGCCTGCTCTCTGATCCGGAATGCCAAAATGCCAAAATCCGGAATGCCATGTTTTCCTTTTGTCCCGATTGAACAACCAGAGGTAAGGAGGTTCCCTCCAGTATCACCAGTTGTTCTCTTTGCAACTCAGTCAGCCCCTCATGTTAGACAAAAATTGCAAAGGTTTGAGAGATTTGAGAAAATGCCCCTCAGCCAGTTAATAGAGATAGCACAAAAGGTCTTTGAGAACTGAGAGAATTTATAAGAAGCTACCAACAAGAAGATAACCAAAGTGTTAGAATTGCTCTATGAGAGAGAATTAAAAAAAAAAAAAAAAAAAAAAAGTATGAGAGTTTCTGGGGGTGGTTGGATACTGTAGTCTATGGATTCTAAATTTTACTGAAAAGCTCACCCCCAATATAACTCCCTTAAGGGGGGAAACTCAGAATTCACTGAACTGGACTGATAAATGTGAACAGGCCTTCGAGCAGCTCAAGTGGGCCTTGACAGAGGCCCCAGCCCTGGGATTCCCTGACCATTACTAAGCCGTTCACCTTGTTCATAGATAAACTCAGGGGCATTGCCAAAGGAATCCTAACCCAGGACATTGGCCCTTGGAAGAGGCCTATAACCTACCTCTCCAAAAGATTGGATCCGGTGACAGGAGGATGACCCCCCTGCCTGAGAATGCTAGCTGCTGTGGCAATGTTACTTAAAGATGCTAAAAAAAACTTACTTATGGACAGAAGATTTCTGTGGTGATCTCCCACAGTTTAGAGACTCTTATCAAAACCTTTCCCAAAAAATGGCTTTCAAACACTAGAATTTTATACTATTAGGCCCTGCTCCTAGACCCAGAGTTGGTAGTTTTCAAGACTTCTTCAGCTTTAAACCTAGCCACCTTTATGCCTGATGCCGACCCAGAGGAACAAAGGACACCTTTCCATGAGTGTGCTGACATCCTCGAACTACAGCAGAACATATGGGCTGATCTTACTGACCAGCCTTTGGGAAATGCCAACAACTATTTCACCGATGGAAGCAGCTTCATCCAGAACGGCAAATGAGTGGCCGGGGCAGCAGTGACCACCAAAAAGGAGGTACTCTGGGTTAAGTGGTTAGAGCCTGGCACCTCTGCCCAAAAGGCGGAGCTCATTGCTTTGACTGAGGCACTAAAACTAGCCATGGGAAAGAGGGTAAACATCTATACTGACAGTAGATATGCTTTTGCTACTGTACATGTACATGGAGCCATCTATCAGGAGCTGCTACTGTACATGTACATGGAGCCATCTATCAGGAGCGAGGTCTTTTAACCTCGGCCAGAACAAAGATAAAAAAATGTTCCACAGATCCTACACTTGCTGGCAGCAGTCTGGCTGCCTCAGCAGGCTGCTGTTATTCACCCTAGGAAACAATTTGGCAGATCAGGCCACTCGAAAAATAGCCACTACATCAGAGGGGCCAACTGAGGAGGTAACTGCGCTGATGTTGGTTCCTCCCACTTTATCAGAACCGATCTACATAGAGAAGGACCTGCAGTTAGTATCTCAACGTGGAGTGCAGTCCCCCACCCCAGGGGGCTGGTACCAGTTACCTGATAAACGAATACTGTTACCGGAGGCACTAGGGTGGAAGCTCTTACACTGGGCTCACCAAACTACCCATTTAGGGGGAACTAAACTTGCTGAATTATTCAGAACTCAATTTTTTATTCCAAAACTCTCCAAACTGACCGCGTCTTTGAGCTCCAGATGCCCACAGTGCTTGTTAGTCAACTCAGCCAAGAGCTCTACACTGGAGACCACCCAACATTGAGGAATTGTTCCAGGAGAACATTGGGAAGTAGACTTCACAAACATGGTAAAGCCTGGTTTACAGGAGCACTGCTATCTCTTGGTATTAGTGGACACCTTCACTGGCTGGGTAGAGGCTTTCCCTACTAAGTGCGAGTCAGCCTTAGTGGTAGTTAAAAAGCTATTGCATGAGGTCATACCTCGATTTGGCCTCCCACTATCAATGGGGCCCGATAATAGCCCAGCTTTCATAGCCCAAGTCACCCAAAAGTTAGCCCAGGCATTAAAGATTAATTGGAAACCACCGTGCCTATCGGCCACAAATCTCAGGGCAAGTAGAACGTATGAACCAAACTCTCAAGGACACTTTAGCTAAGCTGTCTTTAGAAACTGGCGATAATTGGGTGAGCCTTCTTCCCTTTGCTCTGCTGCAAGCTAGATGTACCCCATATGCTTCTGGAATTTTCCCCTTTGAAGCTATGTTCGAAAGACCCCCTCCACTGGTCCCAAGACTGTCAGAGGACAAATTAGTTGAAATAACTAACCAAGATCTCATTAAGTCCCTGCAGACACTCCAGCCTGTGTTGGCCTTGATCCACCAGCTGTTTAGACAAAAACACTTGCACCTGCCTTCAGAGACGCCAATCAAAGCACCCATCAAGCCAGGAACTTCTGTCCTGGTGCAACGTCATGATGGAGACTCCCGGAACCCTGCTGGAAAAGCCCCTTTACTGTGGTGCTCAGTACCCCTCATTGCTGTCAAGGTAGCAGGAAAAACTGCATGGATTCACCATACTCACATAAAGCCATTGGAAACAGCGGACAACAAGGGACATACTCAGTGGATTATACAACAGACTGGTAACCCCTTGAAGTTAAAATTGACTAAACATAGTTAGATTATACCAGTCATGAACTGCTTTAGCTTGCTTGCTTTTGCTCCTTCTATCCCACTGCTGGGGATTTTAATAACATTGATGCTGACCTTGCACAGTGGCTTTGGTCCCCCTGTAAGCAAAGAACAATTGTTAAAATCTTTTTATGGGAGCCCGTGATTGTGGAGGGGGCTATACTAAAGGTGAAGACACTGGCTGGGGGAATTATACATACAATAGGAAAAAAGGATTATGATCCTTCCCACATAAATGATAAATTATATACATATAGTCTTTAGACAGATTGTAGGGACAATTTAGCATTCCTTGTTACTATACCCTCAGTTACAGGGGGTTTGACTCACATGTGGATGTGTAAGTTAAAACCCCGCGTGATGCCTAACAAAGGCAGCTAGCCAGGGCCATCCCCTCAGAATTGTTCTTTTTTTTTTTTTTTTTTTCCGTCTTTTTCCTTTTTATCGGTACCGGGGACTGAACTCACGACTGCCTGCTTGCAAGGCAAGTGCTTATGCCACTGAGCTAAATCCCCAGCCCCCAGAATTGTTCTTATTAAAAAATAATGTTTCCCCAGATACCTTACCACCCCTTGATGCTGCCTAAATCGCGGGGAGTTGATCTGGATGCTTAAACTTCTGATATTCTAAAAGCCATTCATAAAGCCTTAAATGCTTCCAACCCAATTTTGGCTGAAGATTGCTGGTTATGCATGGCACAGGGCTCCCCCATGCCCCTTGTGATCCCCACCAATGTTTCTCTGACCACTCTGGAGGAACAAGATTACTTAAATTGTAGTGCTGGTCCCCCCTTTAGAGTATAACCAGTAGGCTTCAAGGACTCTCCCTGTCTCCAAGAAGGTTTTCATAAGGATACCTCTGACATTGATGTGGGGTTTGTTGCATTTACTAATTGTAGTTCCATAGTTAATCAGACTACCTCCCTTTATCCCACTGAAGGACAAGTATTTATTTGTAAAGGAAATATGGCCTATACTTTCCTCCCAACTAACTGGACAGGGATATGTGTACAGCTGTCCTGTTGCCTGACATAGAGATCCTGCCGGCAGATGCGCCTGTCCCCATTCCTAGTTTAGATTACATTACAGGCCACTCAAAGAGGGCAGCTCAATTTATTCCTTTATTGGTAGGCCTAGAAATATCAGGAGCCTTAGGTATGGGGGCAGCAGGAGTAGGGGTTTCTGTCCAACTTTCCAACCAGATTGTTAGTGATGTGCAAGCATTATCTAGTACCATTCAGGTCATTCAAGACCAAATAGACTCATTGACTAAAGTAGTTCTCCAAAACAAAAGAGGACTAGACCTAATGGCAGAACAATGAGGGATCTATGCGGCATGGCAGGAATGATGCTGTTTTTATGTAAATAAGTCCAGCATTGTCCGGGATAAAATCAAGAGACTACGGAAAGACCTAGTTTTAAAAAAAAGAGCTATTTAAAAACCCTTTATGGAGTGTCTAGAATGGAATCCTGCCCTATCTCCTGCCCTTGCTTGGGCCATTGTTAGGAGTACTGCTTTTGGTCACAGTAGGTCCTTGTATACTCAATAAAATAACTGCATATGCCAGACAACAAATGCAAGGCATAAACCTTGTTCCCCAAAATTGGTCAAAGATTTGGCCTCAGTCACAACATCAGAGGGGAATGTTGTAAGCTAGTTCTAACCAATGCACCTCCTTCCTGTTCTGTATGTGCCATTTCGATAGAGATTAAAATTCCATTTCCAGTAAAGACTTAAGTTTCAGTTTCTTGTAATCCCCCCCACCCCCTTCAGCCTATCTGTAATACAATATGCTGTCCTTAAGAAACGTTTAACTACAAGGAAGTTACAGGAGATACCAAGAAGCCCAGATGCTATCAAACTGTGTCAAAGTTTGCAACATTCCTGGGTTTTTGGCTTTAAAACCCAACCCTTTTAGCTGTAAGGTGCACAGTCTCCATATTGGCTCCCAGAGATTGTGTCACCAGGCCTGGCCTAAAATAAAGCCTTTGCTCCCTAAATTTTAATTTCTTGCTTCCTTGGGTTTTATTCCGGCGTATGAGCCATCACATTTAATAGCCAAAGAAATCTTGAAAAAGAACAAAGGTAGAGGCATTACATTACCTGATTTCAAAACATATTATAAAGCTACTCTAGTTAGAACACCATTATCAGAGACCTGGCCTAGATCCCCTAAATGAATGTATAATGAAGGCTTAATAAATGAGACAAGTGGTATGATTTTAGGGCTCTAGGAGGATCAAAACCCTCTATAGAGTTCGAGACTCTGGAGGCTAAGACCAGGAATGTCGTTAGGTAGCCATATATATTTAGTTTCCAAAAAAGGAAGGGGTTAGAGTGGAAAGCACAGGAAACTGAACAGACCTTGGGAATGGTTCAAGGACTTTTCCAAGTAACAGATTATGTTTACTTTAGGAGAATGATCTTATGTTAATTTAGGAGAAGATCGCCATGTTGCATTTCACTACAGGAATGAAATGCCTGCAGCTACAGTCTTTAGTTAATTGGAATTGGATCCAGGTATTCTGAACTATGACCTTATCTTGCCTTTCAAGGCATCTCTTTGTTCTCAGGTCAGCCATGCCCTGGCCATACCACAGCCCTGTACGTGTGTTCAATTTCCAGTTTCAACTGTTCCCAACACACCATGGTACTAGCATAAAAACAGACACATCAACTAATGAAAAAGAAGAGAAAGCCTGAAACAAACTATTTATTGCCAATTGATTTTCAAAAAAAGTGCTAAGAATGTACAATGGGGAAAGGATAATCTCTTCAGGAAATTGTACTAGAAAAACTGGATATCCATTTGCAGAATTAAATTAGGGGACTGGGGATTTAGCTCAGCAGCATAAGCACCTGCCTTGCAAGCCCACAGTCGTGAGTTCAAGCCCCAGTACCAAAAAAAAAAAAAAAAAAGAATTAAACTAGGACTCTTCAACTTTAGTACTTGGGAAGGCAGTATTTTCAGACCCCATTGAGAAAAGCCATTGAAAAGGTCACAAGCCTATAGTTCTGAAGAAAGGAATAAAGATAAGCAATCAAGAAAATGCCTTCTCTTTATATTGATGTGCCAATCCACAGTGATCACCTAAAAAGTATTGAATGTCTTATAAAGGAGTTCATTACCTGGTATGGTGGTATATTCCTGTGTCTTAGTTACTTTTTACTCACTGCTGAGACAAAATACCTGAAGCCCAGAGTTGGGAAAGGAAAGGTTTATTTCTTACAGTTTTTGGAGGTTTCAGTCCACACTCAGTTGGCTCCAAGGCAGGCGGGCATGGCTGGGCCACAGTTCATGGTGGCTGCAAACAGCAAGCAAGAACCAGCAAAGAGCAAGACACACCTTTTTCCTGCCATTACATCACATCCTGGCTCCACCCCTATGTGGGTGGAGCACTGACACCATCAATCCAAGCACTAGACAATGAAGCATCACAAATGCACAATGCAAACTTATGAGGCCTGCGGGCCACAGACATAAACCATGACAGCGTGCAATCCCAGCACTTGGGAGGCTGAGGCAGGATCATCATGAGATGGGCTACGTAAGCAAGTTCAAGACCAGCCTGCACTACATAGTGAGGCTCTGGCTCAAAAAAATAAAACAACAGCAACAAAAAGTTCATTACGCATGTGGGCTTAATTATAGAGCAAGTAATATGTGACCACATGGAAAAGATCATGGCCTTCTGTCTAAAGAAAGCACATAACCAAGGTTGGTCGCAAAATGAAATTACTAAAGTAAATGCAAAACAAGATACATTCTCACAGATGCAGAGAAAAAAGCCAAAGAAATCAAGTAAGAAAAGAGAAAAAGAGAGGTAGAGAGCCTGTCCAAGAGATACAATCTATGCATAATAGGAATACCTAACACAGAGGGTAAGGCAAATGAGACTGAACTAATTAAGGAACTAACTGAAAACTTTACAGAGTTGAAGAACAAAATAGGTCTGCAAATGAAGGTGGCTCACAGGTATTTTTAAAATTTGATGAGAAGAAAGTTACACCTAGACACATCTTTGTGACTTTTCCAAATTTCAAGGATAAAGAAAACATTTTACATGTATTCAGGCAGAGAAAGATTACCTATAAAGAGGCAAAATCAGAGTGGCCTCAGGTTTTTCTCTTGCACTTCTAAATGCCAAAAGAAATGAACAATATATTTAGAGTTCTAAGGAAAAATAATTTTGAATGAATTACTGTACATACTTTGCCCAGTTAGTTTTATGGATAAAGACAGCTAGAAGACATAACCAAGGGGTTAAGAAAATGTATCAACTAAGAACTTCCTCTGAAAATTTTGCTGAATAATTTACTGTAGCCAACAGAGAAATTAAAAAGTGTAAATGCAAAATATACTTGTAAAAAAAGAAAGAACCACACGTGGAGTAGATCAGGAGGTAGGGTCCACCGAGATGCTATTTATAGGAAATATAATTAACATGAAAAAGAGTACATGGACTGAAAACCAAATATGAGAAACCAATGCTCTATGTGACAGAGAACAAGAGAGTAATAGGGGCAACTAGACCAGTATTTGTGGATAGATTGGAAAGACAGGCTTTAATAGGTAAAGGAATACAATTAGAGATCAAGTCCAGGATAGAGAAGATTTGGAACTACTTAGGTAAATAGCAGGTTGCCTCCCCTACCCAATTTAAAACCAAGGGTCTTGGTCAGACCCAGAAATGTACAGTGAGTGTATCCTGGGGAAGTGAAAGGTGAGGGAGAGTCTTTAAAAAGATGGCAGAAGATATTGTTAATAGTGTAACAGGATTTAAAACCACATTACTCGAACCACTCTGCTTAGATAGATTTTATTCTGTCCCAGTTTGTCTACTTGCATTAGATTTGAGGGCACAGATAGCTATCCCAAAAACATCCGGATATAGCACAGTAATCATCTTTAATTTCCTATTATCTTAATATGGAGCCCTGTACGACTTACTCTGTTTTATCATGACTGATCTTAGTTAAATCTGGTTTGTTTGATTGCTGTTTGGTTTCAACAGATTTTATTCAAAGCTGATATGACTCATAGTATCAAGTCTGAGAGTATAGGCAACTACACTGAAGATGACAAGACTGATACACATTCTGGTTTGATAACTGCCTGTTTTTGAAGTTCTATACTATATACAAAGTTGTGTTTTTATTAATACTGTTATGTACTGATATATTCAATTATACTATGTCTGATGAGATAGCCAATTCTATTGAAGATAACAAGAGACAACACAGGAACTAGGATAGATAACAAGAGACAGATAGATAGATAACAAGAGACAACACAGGAACTCCTTGTACAACAGTCTTATATGTCTTTTTCGTTTCATGTGTTTATAGGAATATGTTTTGTTTTGTTTTGCTTTGTTTTGTTTCTCCCTCTAATATTGAAAGGATAGAAATACATGTTAAGACTCATGCATGTGTAGAATCTATAAACAGTTTATGAGAACTGATCTTATGACACATAATGAAATGAACAGATACTTGAAGACAAAGAGACGCTAAAGTACCCAGTGCTGATCCTGGAGTGTCATAATGTGATATCCAGCAATAGTAAGTATTATTCTTTGTTCAGAGTGATATTAGCCTGCTTGGGCGTGTTCGATCTCAGCATAATTGAAGATATGGATAACTGCATGTATGTTTAAGTGTATAGGATTGATAACCACATTTCTAAGTTTTTGTTGGATAGTTGAACAGAAATGGTTGCAGTCTCACTGAATCCCCACTTTATATGCTCCACTTTAGTATCTTGAATAACTATTTGTAAGAGGACAATTTGTAATCATCAACTAGTGATTTTCTTACTGTTTATTTTTTTCTTTGAAAATATGTATTACTTCTACCCATTTTCTGTTTTCTTTAGTCTTTCTTTAAATAAAATTTTAAAAAAAGACACTACAGTACCCCGTGCTGATCCCAGAGTGTCATGATATGAAATCCAGCAATACTATTATTCTTTGTTCAGAATGATTTTAGCCTGCTTTAGTTTGTTTAATCTCAATATTAATGATGATATGGATAACTACATGTATGTTTAAGTGAATAGGATTGACAATCATGTCACTAAGTTTTTGTTGGATAGTTGAATAGAACTATTTGCAGTCTTGCTGTTTGAATTCCCACTTTATATGTTCCACTTTTGTATCTTGAACAACTATTTGTAAAAGGAGAGTATGTAAACATAAACTAGTGATTTCTTAGTGTTTTTCTCTGAACGTATGTATTATTTCTACCCATTTTCTGTTTTGTTTAGTCTTTCTTTAAATAAAGTTAAAAAATATATACTTATAAACTAAATCTTAAATTTTCAATTTATGTAATTTTAAACTCGCAAAGTACAGGCCAAATATTTAATGTATTGGACAAATAATTATTATTTTTATTTTTGTCATGTAATTTGGTTTTCGTCTAGATGTTCCCTAAAGGCTTGTGTGGTCATAGGACTTTTTCAGAAGCTGAATCTAGAATGATTGATTTGTAGTACAATGCTGGGATTAAGGGTGCATGATTACTGAATCAATCCACTGATTGGACTGGAACCATCCTAATCCCAGTGGACTGGATATGATATAAAGAACAAAAAGAGACCTGTCTTTCTCCCTTGCTTGCTTGTTTTTGCTGTCTTCACCACCATGAACAGTTGCTCTCCTGCCATGTACCACCCTACCTTGGAAATAGCTGATTCTGGACTGAAACCTCTACAAACTGTGAGCTAAAACAAATCTTTAACTTTGGATGTCGGCTATTTGGTCTTATGGTAGAACATACCAGCCCTCCCAGCCAGTATATTTCAATTTTTGTTAGTTTAACGTCCTGTTTACTTCAGTTCCTGTTACTAATTACTGTTACTACTATCTCCTAGAAATGTGATGCATACTGTGTATGAACCAATCACAACTGATAAGCCATTCTGTATAAAAACTCTGTCCCTGAGTCATCAGGCCCCAACTTCTTTGGGAGTGATTCCAATCAGGTTCACCAGTGTAAATTAAGCTGATTCTTGCCTTCAAACCTCAGTGCCACTCATTTCTTAGTTATGGTCTTGTTGTTACAGTCTTAGCAACAAGGAAAGTAAGACTTATTACTTATGGATATAGTGACTACTGAGTGGAGGTTATTAATGAAAGATATGGCAAGTCTATACTGGCTGTTCTAACAGCAAATACCATGATAGGTACTGACAGCAAAATCATGAGATGAGAGAGACAGGCAGACACACAGACAGACAGACAGAGACAGGGAGAGACTTTCTATAAAAGTAGATCTAGAATGGCCTTTGAAGAAGAGAAATAGCAAGTGGGCATGGTAGTACATGCCTGTAATCTTAGCACTCAGCACTTGGGAGCCTGAAGCAGGAAGATTGCTGAGAGTTCAAGGCCAGCCTGAGCTAGTTAGCAACAATCTGTCTCAAAAAAGAAAAAGAAAAGCAACAGCTACTGGAGAGCTAAACATCAAAATGTAAAAATTCTGAACACATTATCTGCAAATTGTGTCTCTATCTCCCTTACCAAAGCCACATGTTAAAAGTCCAACCTTAGGACCTCCAAATGGGCATGCTTTGAAGAAGTGATTAGGTTGAAATGGTACTGGTGGACAGACACTAGATATGTGTACCACCCAGCAAGAAAGTGGCCATTTACAAGCTAAAGAGAGAGGCTGAAAGAGAAAGCAAACAATGTAACATCTTCATCTTGTATTTCTGACCTCTAGATCTGAGAAACATTTTGGGTTTAGTCACTGTTTTAGTTACTTTTTACTCATCCTGAGACAAAATACCTGATGCCCAAAGTTGGGAAAGGAAAGGCTTATTTCTTACAGTTTTGGAGGTTTCAGTCCACACTCACTTGGCTCCAAGACAGGCGGGCAAGGCTGGACCACCGTTCATGGCAGCCACAAACAGCAAACAGGAACTGGCAAAGAGCAAGACACAACTTCTTCCTGCCATTACATCATATCCTGGCTCCACCCCTATGTGGGTGGAGCACTGACACCATCAATCCAAGCACTAGACAATGAACCAATCACAAATACACAATGCAAACTCATGAGGCCTGGGGACACAAACATAAACCATGACAGTCACTCTCTGGTATTTTGTTATGGTAATCCTAGCAAAATAATACAGAACAGAAAAACTACATTATTAATAGAAAACCTTTAGGGGAATATGTTTAACTGTAGAAGTCCAGAAGTTTGGTAGTATTGGAACTGGGTCACTGTTTATCCTGTCAGTTCATGAAGCTAGGGGAAGCCTTCTTCCTCCTCAAAACCTACTGTTGTACCTGAAATACAACATGTCCTCAAATATTAGGGTAGAGTGAGTGATGGAGTGAAAAGGAAGAAATTCAAGAGAAGCTGTGCAGAAGTAATGCACAGTAGTGCTCCTTAAGTTTTCTGGTCTCAGGACTCTTTAGACTGTTAAAGATTATATGACTGTGCATATTCAATGCCCCTAGCACTTTGATCAAGGAATTATAATATAAATAAAATTATATTAATGCATGAAAAAAGTTTTGAAATCTAAAGATCTTTGTGGCTTATAATCTGCCACTATTTACCACGTTAAAAAGTTAAAACTGAAGATTTAAAAATGTTTGTTACTAGAACAAAATTGTATTAAAAGTAACTATACAGGAACTTGAGACCCTGGGAAGCCAAGCAAGGACCTCCCCTCCCCAGTAAGCGGTGGCGGTGTGGCAGACTGTGGCCGTTCCAGGGGGAAAAACCACCAGCGGCTCCTGAGATCCGTGCCATGTTGGAACTTAGGACGCTGTGAAACCAAACAACCAGCCTGCCTCCCTGCTAAGCAATAGTGAACCTACTGGTGCACAGCCTAGAGTCAAACATCCCACTTCCCCTACCCCGCTTCTTATGCCTCCCCCCATTAGCAAATGGGAACCAGAAATCTGAACATCTCCTGGGAGGTTGACCATAGCAAATAAGGGGGGATTTCCTTCTACCATCTCTTTGAAGGCAAATATTTTTATTACTGTTTTGCTCTATTCGGATTAATGGTACTGCTCTATTCAATATTCTGTTTTGATAAGTTCTATAATGTTCTGTATTTCATCTCATTTTGATATATGTGGTTGAAAGAACAAATATTATAAAGATAATGAAATATACTGTGATACCTATTATTGTTATCCTGGTAACCTGCTGTGAAGTTTTGTACCAATTTCACTATACGATCTTAGTTGGCTTTATTCTGTCTTGTTCTGTTGTATTTTACCACTTTCAAAATAAAAATTTTTTTTAAAAAGTAACTGTACATTTTTTTAACCTTCTATGTATAATTTTTTTGTGTGTCTTTTTTGTGACAGGGTTTCACTACACAGTTTAGGCTGGTGTTAAACTTACTTTATAGCCCATTCTGGCCTCAAACTTGCAATGACCCTCCTGCCTCAGCTTCCGGAGTGACGAGATTACAGGTGTATGCCACCATGCCTGGTTCATGTACAATTTTTAATGTATTGCTATTTAAAGTTTTTGAGATAGCTAACATTTAGATAAATATCTGTTGTTTGGAAATGATTTTTGAGTAACTAATGCTGTGAATATTTTGTTAATTTATACCAGATAATTGTCCTACTAACCTGTTTTGAAACTTGGTTTCACTTTTTGTTTATCTTTTTTTCCTCTTTAAAATATAAATAAATGAAAAAATATCTCTTTGTTTGAAACAGGCTGTCCCTGAACTCGCCATATAGTTCAGGGTGGCCTCAAACTCACAGTGGTCCTCCTGCTTCAATGCTGGGATTACAGGCAAGTGCCAGTCCATGTTAAGTTTCTAAAATACGCAATTATTTAAACTGTTTTGTTGATTAATTGGTAGTTGAAAATAAGTGTGTTTTTCTTTCTGAGTAGACTTTTAGGGGAAAAAGTGTGATGAATATAGCTTCTAGTCACATGTCATCTTCATAGCTTATAATTATTTTAAAAATCCTCTTGTTAGGAGAGAATAAATACCATTTGAACCAAAAGTCCAGCAAGTTTGACCTATCCTTTCTCGAACTTTTTGCATGTCAATTTCCAACCATCGTTTTTCTGCAAAGTATCCAATCTTCCAGAAATTAATACTATGAAAGTTCTCTAAAAGGTTTAATAGGGTTTTTTTTTTTTAAGTCTCTTGATTACAGCATCCCATAAATCTGCTTGCCAGCGAAAAGGGAAGAGTTCTCTGAGATCCATTGTATTTTTTTGGTCTTTTTTTTTTTTTATCAGTACCAGGGATCAAACTCACAACTGACTGCTTATAAGGCAGGCACTTATGCCACTGAGCTAAATCCCCAGCCCAATCCATGGTATTTTTCAGTGAAGTATTTGATGGGGCTCATCCTATGAGAAATGTTAAATTTCTGGGCAGTCCTTATCTCACTGGCTGACCATATCTGTATATCAGTGATAGGCTCCAAGTTGTTCATTGAAACAGCAAATTATTTTTATTTTCAAATTCAATAGTCTCTGTTTTAGAAACAAGTTTTGGTGGGGCACTTTTCATCCTTTGACTCTGCCCCAAGTGTTGAAATGCAGGTTTTGTAGACATACATACATCATTTTTCTTATCTTCAGTTTTAACATTCACCTTTTCTTTATAAAAAAAAATTTTGTGCAATTCAGAAGGTAATTTCTCCTTTTTGATGGATTTCAGAAACTGGTGACTTATACCATCAGAATAACTTCAGAGTTTCCTCAAAAAGTCTGTCAACAAAATATTCAGAGTTCTTTTGTCATTATCATTAAGAGCTTGATTTCAAATTCTGTTTTACACACCCAGTGGGATGGACCGGTGGATACTCAGAGTGAGCTACAGCACCTTGAGAGTAACTCCAGTCCAACTGACTGTAGTCTAAGAGACTGCAATGTCTCCTGGATTTTTAGGTCACTTAAAAAAATTATTTTTGGTAGCACTGGGTGTTAAACCCAGGCCTTTGCACATGCTAGGCAAATGGTCTCCCACTGGCTACTAGTCTTTTAAAAATTATCTTGAGATAGAATTTTACCAAGTTTGCCCCAACCTGGCCTCAGACTTGCACTCCTCTTGCCTCAGCCTCCTGAGTAGCTAGGATTTATTTTTAACTTCCTTTAATAACTACCTGATTGAAAGACAACTAGATTTTATAACAGCTTCCATAGTAGAAGATGTGTACCCTCCCTCCCCCGGCCACAGCCAGCATACTGCAGTTTCTTAGTTGCCCAGGTAATAATTCCTGTTGCGGTTCCGGTGGCTTCTGTCTCCTAGAAATGGCTGGTCACTGTGATGCATAGCTGGTCACTATGATGCACACTGTAAGGACCAATCAAAGGCAGCCAAGTACTCTATGTATTTCCCCTTCGTAATCCCGTAAAAACCTCCCTCTTTGAGATTTCATGGGGCTGGACATTTTGAGGAGCAGTTCATTCCTAGTCAGTGCGTGTCCCATCTTAACTAAATCTGCCTCCCAATCCTCCGTGTCCTGCCAGTGTTTTTGATTTCTGTTGTACTGTTTCTTTTGACTTTTCTTTTGACTTCTGTTGCACTTAATTCAAACAATTAAGATACAATGTTTTCGTTTAAGCAGATGAGTCTGGCTTCACACAGATATGTGCTTAACAAAAATTTCATCTTTCAGGTAATTGTAGACATTCTTTGATTTTTACAACAAAATTTGACAGGTAGTAGCTATTTAAGGTTTGGGTGATAATGTGGAATCCGAAGCCATAATACTTTGAATGAGCTTTTTGCCTATGTGTGTGATACTATGACAACTTGGCAATATTGATACACTGTGATATTTAGCTCTTGCAAATGTTGAAACATTTCAGTATATAGCATCAAAGAACATTCAGTACTACCCTCCCGCAAAGTCTTTCCTCATTATGAAAATCTAATGCTTCAGAAGACAAAAGCTTGTGAAATTTTTTAAATGCTAATTTTCACCTGAAAGCTAATAATTTTTCACTGAAAACAGATACTGTCAATAATTTTTTGAACTTATAGTTTATTTTTTTTGAAAAATGTTTACCAGTAACCACAGTTTGAGTATGCCATATTATACTTTTGAATGTGACAAACAAAAATGGTAATCAATGAAAAAATATGTAAAAAGACACTGCGAACAGTGCATAACTCAAAAATCACCCAAGCACATTTTGGAAACACAAATATTTTATTTTGGTGCATAGCCACAGTGCTTTGTCATTTATCCACACCGAATATTAATAGTATGTGTACTCAGGGTGGATATTTAACAAAAGAAACACACTATATGTGTTTTGTCAGTGACACAATGTATGGTACCACTAGGTGATGTCATTCATTATGGTTTTTGGCACCATCAGTTTTTTTCATAACAAATAGTCTTGACGGTATTATGAAAACATTCATCTCTTTATTTCCTTGGGAGGTTACTCTTGGTCTTCCTTCACCAGCTCCACTAAAGTTCCAGAGATTGAACCCGGGCAAGCAACCACTCTGCCACTTCCGATGTTGTGAAAAGCTTCTCCGGCTTCTCTCCAAGAAAGCATCGCAGGTGGAATGTTTGTCTCGAGCTCCCCTCTTCCTCTCGCCTGCGTGAATTTATTTTCTATAAATTCCCATTCTAAGCTTCCTCTGATGCTTTGCAGTCAGCCTGTTCCCCGAGCCTGGTTTTACCCCGACCTCACCTCTCTCTTCTCTCCCCGGGTGGCCTCTGCTGACCCGGAGCTCGGGCCATCTCTCCACGCGCGCTAGAGCGCCGCATCGCCGAGGCAGAGGCACCAGCCGCTCACCGCCCCTACTCGCCAGCGTGTCTCCTCACCCCTCCCTGGACCGCCTTCCCTGCTCCACCCACCCTCCTCTGTCCCCCTCCTCTCTTCCCTTCCCTCCCCTTTCCCCTCCCCGGGTCACTCGCAGTGTCCTCATTGGAGCGTCAGGTGAGGACGTCGCCCGCACCGCACCGCTAGGGTGGGCGGCCACCAGGGTAAAGCGCACCCGGATCGGCTCACAGCGCTGGCTTCAAGCGTGGCGCAGGTTCGGCTGTCCAAGTAACGCCGGGTCTGCTTCACCTGCCTACGGGTTCCAACCCCACAACTCAGAGGTCGCCGGGGGTGGTTTAGGGATGAAAAGGTGAAGTCTCCAGACCCTGCCCAGGAGCATCCTCCTAACGCTACCTTAGCGGGTGCGAGCTCAGGTCTGACAAAACCCCTGCTTTATTGTGAGCAGAGTGTGCGCAGCTACAAAAACTGCCCTCTCTGAGGCTCGAACTCAGGACCTTCAGATTATGAGACTGACGCGCTGCCCACTGCGCTAAGAGGGCTACGCCGAGCTGCTGCTCCTGCGAAAAAATTCACTGGGAGTGACGTGAGATGAGCAATAAACGAGTTTAGTTTTCTGAAAGATGTTATACTAAGACAGAGAAACACTCGTGATTTAAAAACACATTTCTGCAAGAGACAACGTGAAGAAGATAGAACACAGGATAGAACACAAGGAGGAGATCTTGTGGAAATCACTGGAGCTGTACCTTTTTGAAGAGAAAATGGGGTGTCTAGATATGCCAAGAGCCTCCGGCAGGCGTGGAGAGTGAGAGGCGCCGAGGGAGGGCCGCTCTCCTCGGGGAGGCGTCGGAAGGGCTCAGCGAAGCCAGACGTCTGCTACGGTCGCGGGCCTGAGACGCTCGGAGGCTGTCAGAGGGGAACACAGCGAGCTTGTTTGTTCCACAAACAAGCGTGAGAAGCAGAGCAGGCTGCCGGGGCCGGAGCGGGGAGGCGTGGCGCCCTCCCGCGGCGAGCCAACCGCACCCTCGTCCCGGTGCCGGGACCCAAGCAGGGTGGCAAAACTCCCACAATCCTGGAGTGTACAGACGGGGGGGGGGGCGTCCAAGCTGATCACGAGAGAACCCCTCTTCACCACTTCCCAATTTCTCTCCCGATGTCCTGGAGCTAAAGACAGCCAGCCCAGAGTCCTTCCTCTTTCCCTATGGAAGCCCCGTTTCTTGATAATCCTTCTCAGCTTCCCAAGACAAAAACCGGCAGCCCCTGAACTGGTGTCGCCCCGTCCCTTTCTGGAACTGGGTGTCTGTTGGAATACTGAATATTCAATATTTCTCTTGGTCCTGAAGGAATAGTCACGTTCCACCCTCCCCCTTTTCCTAAATTCACCAGACAAGAACTAATTTCCATAATTCCTAATGCATTCCAATGAACATGAAATCAATCTGTTTGACCCTTGTATTTTGTCTACTTCCGACCTTTCTTTTGGGTCCAAGTATTTAAAGATTTTGACCTCACCTCCGTCTATCTTTGATGTGTCAGTATGGTTCCTAGATTTGTTTGTTCATAGTGGAAAATTGTTGGATTTCCCAGAGAGCGCACAGGATTTCCTGAGGCTAAGCACAGCATTTTCCTTTTATAGAACTCAGGGAGCTTAGGAGGAGCTGAGGAAGAGAAAAATCTGAAATTTTTAATTTGTCTAGAGATTTGTTCCTGATGCACTTTATTGAGAACTTGGCACAGGGGAAGAGGTCAAGGATCCAGACAGAATGTCACAACAGCTCAGCGAGTAAGATTTCAAGCAGTTATTGTAGCTTAATCCTATTCTGACTGGTGAGTGTGTGTTAATGCAGATAATGTGCCTTGGCATACTTTGTAGTATGAAAAACTTATTGTAATTTATCAACACATGTGGAGGACCACCTGGATGATTCTCCTTAAAAGAAAAGCAATTATCTCCTTTTTGGCTGAACCTGGTCCCGTTTATGTGTATTGATGTATACAGAACTGGCCAGGACATTTCTTCACCACTTCAGTTGGCTTTAAACTATGCAGATGACTCTAGCTAAGGTGCTGATGTGTAGTCATTAAAGCACTGGGACAGGTCAGTGAAGCTCCTCCTAAAGCTCCCAAATGACATGTGTGAGCCAAGCCATGTGTAGACTGGCAGCTTTCCCTTAGGCTGAGATCTAGCCTGTAGATAAGAGGTTACAACTTCAGGGCATAAAAAATTACACATCATAATGGGCATAATGGCACACACCTGCAATCCCACCATTTGAGAGGCTGAGACAGGAAGATTGTTGTGAGCTCAAGGCCAGCCTGAACTACACAATGTCTCAAAAAAACAAAAACAAACAAACAAATACAGATCAGAACTGAAGCATCAACTTCAATATCTTAGATATTGCATCGAATAGTGTTATACAGATCACTCTGCCTCTTTCTCTCTGTCTTTCTTGCTTGCTCTCTTCTCTCTCTGCATAACGCACAGGTGATTTCAGGCCTCCCACCTAGCCCAGCTCATGGTGGTCATGTGTTTCCCACCACTCTCATAGTCACTCATCTCTGAGCCACTCCCCTCTTTACCAATTAGTAAAACCTGAATTTGACCCTGGGAGGAGGCCTTTGTTCTGGTGAGCCATCATTGTAGCTGGACTCAGGACTGCCCTGAACTACAAAAGCCTAATGTCTTTGAGCCATTGAGCTCAAAATCCCCAGGCCAGGACTTTCTAAACCCACTGACCTCAGTCCCTGCCTAAAAAGAAAACATATGGAAGCTATAGTACCTCCGCTTGGGGTGTTCTGCAATCCTCCCCCGCTCCACCCTCATTTTTCTTTGTCCACTGGGCCCTGCGTTCTGCTTTGTTCTTTTCCTGGCTGTCAATTCCCAAGGTCAATGGAGCAGGTCTTTCCTTTGTGACCCCAGTGGAGACTACATTAGCTTAATCATCCCAGAGTTGCAGTAAATTCCAAATCTGTCTCTCACGCAGGCAGAATTCTCATTTAAGATTGGGACACAGTCATTTTTTGTGAGTATAATTATCATCAGGTAGAGATTTTACCTAATTAATATTTGTGAATGAAGAAATGCTATACAGATGATTTGGGTGACTCAAAGGAGAGTCGCCTCTAGAGAATTTCTGTTTTTAAAGCTGTGAAGGGATGGTGAATTTGATTAAGTCATTTCAGCTCAGTGAAGACTGGACAAAGGATAAGAACCCTGAGCGTGAGCATAGCACATGGGCTTTTCCATCCATAGGCATCCCTGGAAAAGGAAAATTGATTGCAACAGAGCCAGAAGGCGTATTCTCAGAAAGATTGGGGTATGCAGATATTAACTGCTGGCCTTCGTGGAAGCAGGCAGGTGGTTTGGGATACCTGTAGTGCCCTCTTTCATGATCCCAGTTTATAAGGAGTATATATCTTAGGAACAGAATAGGAAAGACTGCTTATATGGAACACAGATCATCAATAAAGCTATTTTTCACTTGATCTTAGCCCAAAAGTTGAGAAATGATAAACCTGTTTTTCTACTATGATCAATATAAGGCAGCACTGAGAGGACTCAAGAGGTGTCAGAGACAGATTTGGGCTAATGGAAGAAAGAGAAGGATGAGGGGGGTGGGTATGGGCAGAACCTGCCAGGAAGGCCGGGACCTGCAGAAGAAGCTCATGGAAGCCAAAATACAAAAATATCAAATACTTTATTCAATGTTTTAAGCTTTGTTTTGCCCAACTGAGCTCAATGTCATGTGATGTGTGATTAATACCAAATCTCAAGGAGTTTCTTCAAATAGTGGATAATGTGGAAATTTCAAAAACATTTTTTAATGTGGTTTATTCAAGAAGTTAGAGGAAGATCTGGTTCTCAATTCATTTTGGACATGTTTTATCCAAAATGGATGCTTTAGGGAGACAAATCCTTAGGTGGGAGGACACCTCTTTAGCAAGAGGTTGTTGGCCACCTGAATTAAAAGCTGTCTCCTGTGTCCCTCGTCCTCCTTTCAAATTGCTTCCCTGCATTGTCTTTCTGCTTAATAGCTGGTCAACTCTCAGATAATTAGATGAAAGTCCCATGTTCATACTGTACCTGACCATGTTTTGTTCCCGTGAAAGGAAGTAAAAACATTATTGCCTCCCTTCCACCCAGTCTTAAGGGATATATATGTATTTCTTCAACACTATGCATGTCATTAGCTGTAGAAGTATTTTAATGGCTGTTATTCATTTGAGGGAGTTTCCATTCTTAGTTTATTGAATTTTTCTCTTTTTTTCTCCTCCCCTCTAGAGAATTTCTGTTTTTAAAGTCATGAAGGGATGGTGAATTTGATTAAGTATTTTTCTGCATCTAATGAAATGGCATATATATATGTGTGTGTGTGTGTGTGTGTGTGTGTGCGTGTGTGTGTATGGTATATTACATTTGATTGAATTTCTAATGCCAAGCTAATCTTTTATACATGAGGTAAGCTCCTGTAATTCAAAGGGTATTATCTTTTACAGATAGGACTGGATTCAGTTTGTAATTTTATTTTAAAACACTCTTTACCTTTAAGTGCATATAATTTTTCTTTCCTTTATGACTTTCTTTGCTTCTAGTTTGAGAGTTATGCTGGACTCATAAAGGATGACAGGAAGCATTCCATTCTCTTCTATCTAGAAGATGTTATGATTGACATTTCTTTTTTCTAAAGATATTTAAGCTGCATCATTGAAGTCTCCACTGGCTTTGGGACAAGTTTTACATTTATAAGTCTTATGCCTTTAACAGATAAAAGTCTCTTCAATATTCTTATTTTCTCTTTTGTATGTTTAAGTAGTTTGTGTCATAAACGAATGTATCCATTTTGTTTAGCATTTTTTTGCCAAAAATTTGTTCATAAAGTTGCCATTTCTTTTATTATCGTATTCAGGATTACTTATCATTTATAATCTTTGTAAGTACTTTTAGTGATGTCTCTTGTTTTTTTAATCTGTCTAGGATGTGTTGCTCTTTTAAACAATCAATTTTATCAGTGATTTTCATGATCACTCATCTATTTCCTA